AGCGCGGTATTGATTGGAGAGATGCCATGGCTGTACGAATGGTGTAGTGGTGTTGAGCAGCGTGTGCGGAAGTCCGCAAGTTGCTGGATGAAAGACATTCGGCGGAAGTTCGGGCCGGCAAATCTCCACGGTCCAGCGTCAACTTTTTTTGTCCATGGAAGTTCGACATGCTTTCACTTAACTCCTAACTAGCCACAATCGCAAACTTGATGTTTTCCTTTCTCATATTAGATCTTTCCTTTTTCTCATACTCCTGATTGTCGTGCAGTACTCACACTTCCAAGTGCATTATTTCATCACCATGGCTCCTCAACCCCCACCTTACGGATCACAAGAGTATTGGAACCAGCGTTTTTCCTCAAATACGGACACATTCGAGTGGCTCGAGACACCAGACACCCTGGAAAGGTACATATCAGACGCCTTGTCAACTTCACAAGATGAAGACCCGCAAGTGTTACACGTTGGATGTGGTACCTCATCACTGTGGTTTTGTATGGGCGGAGATGGGGAGAGTTGCTGGGGATTGGTGAGTTGGGGTTATGTTTTGCTTGGGTTTGGATGGCATGGGGTTTCTTATGGATGGAGGGTTCTGGGTTTTAATGTATAAATTGCCCGTTTTTTTTTTGAAGAGGAAAAAAAAATTGTGCTAATGGTTATGAGATGGTAGTATAGTACACGGTATACAAATCTCAAGGCTAGGGGATCGCTTGGTGTCCTACTATACATTCATTAAACTCTAGTCTCCTTGCAACGTGGACGACTAGCAGGTATATTGAACACGAGGTTTAAATCTGGTGCAGTATGCAAATGCAGATACGTTGAGCATTGGGCGAGCAGCGGCGGGGGAGTTCCATGTTGGTTGGATTGGACGGGATGGGAGGGGGAACGAGGTGTGAAGGGCGCAGCAAGGGAGGTAAACCCCGAATCAAACAAACACAAGGAAAAAGAATACTACTGTGATCGTTCAAGAAAGCGAATAGCATACCCTCAACTATACATGAAAACTTCCTATTCAAACGTACATCCAAGGGGTATCCGTATTTACAATCACCATCCCACACCCAACACCCAACAGCACAATCCAACACTCCCTCCCCTCCCTACCCCAATGTGCGCTTACGTCGCACACCGCACACCCCCGCCCTCTTTTCATGTGCAACCCCACGCACAAATCGTTCAGTCCTGCGGGCCATACTAACCTAACATACACCAATCGCGTCTGTTGCTGCTCCCTTTGCAGAACGGGGAAAGGCTGGGTGCTTTGATTTGGGAACAGGCACGCGCATGGTTTGGGTGGGATGGGGTGGGTGGACATGTGATATGAAGTCATGTGTGTGTGTGACTTTTGATGTTTGTTGGGGGTGCGTGGATCCAGGTGAATGCCCAGTGTTGCGTGTTAAAAGGGTGGGATTATGAAATACGTGGGTGCGTTTGCGAGTCTTGAGGTTTTGTTTTGGGTTAAGGAAATCCGGGTTGTGTTTCTTCGAGGTGATGGCTGTGTTGTCGAGGTTTCTTTGATGTTTCGGTAATTGCCGCATGATGGGTACTGCGCTTCAGACGCCTGTGATGCCTATTGTTATACTGTAAAGGTATGTGGACATGGCAAGGCGTTGTTGGTCAGGGTTGTACCTGGTTGGGGCAATGGTATTCCCCGAACACGACACCAAGGGGGAGTTCGATGAATTGCGGGATTTCACGCGGTCGATACGTCTTCAAATGCGGGACACTGCTTTGAGTGAAAAGGGTGAGACTGTGTGGTGACCAAAGAGTGAGGCGAGCTCAGTCCTGAATGGTGATTCTAGCCTGCGAACACTTGGATGAGGCGTTTGTAGGACTCGAGGTATTTGAGTTATGTATGTATAGTGAGGCTGGTGAATCATCGTCTCATAAGCACTCACCTAATCGATTCAAGATTGAGTAGCCGTAGGGGCCATCCCGCCAGGGAGACTGAAGAAATGGCGTAAATCCAGCACAACTCATCATTACTTTCTGACGACCACGCATCGATCCAAGCTAGTGGATTGCAACCAATGTCAGCGTTTGTATCTCCATGCAGTACGCCTCGAAGCCGTAACCATGGGACCGGGTTGGCAAAGAAGCTCGTTGCACCAGAAAGTTTAGTTTGGGCAACGTTGTACAGTCCCCAATTTCCGCACCCTGCGACGTTTCAAGACATTTGCGCATGCAGGAACCAAAGCTGGGCGTAGTGCAACACAGAGATGCGCCCAGTGATATGGTTCAAGAGAAAGCTGAAGTGTCCAGATCTAGAATGGACGCAGGACATGGCGATCGTCAGGCGTTCACATGAGACAAATGGCGAAAGGAGCATGGCTGATCGTGACTGACAGTAAACCGCATTCGCATACGATAGGACTCGAGCTGGATAAGCCCTGCGCGATGAGCGTAGACCAGTTCAAGTCCAGGTATCAGTCATCTGTGCCGTTTTGAATTTGGCCATTGTGAAGAAAATTGCCAATTGAATTCGTACCATGTTAGCTCGGACTTGGTCAAATTTTGACGCTATTCAAAATGCCACAGTATATAGCCAGTGACTTCATGTGTACCTACAGTACTACCATCACTGAGGCCGCTGGGGTCACGCATGCCTATACAGACTGTTCAGAGACGAGGGTCTGAACAGCATTAACATGGTCAAAACTAGAACGTGGAAGAAGCGGTATGTCTGCATGTCACTGAAATGGGAGGTGAAAAGCGGGACATGAATGTCATCTCGGCGACATCCTGCACTCACGATCGAATCGACAAAAAGGCCACAGGTAAGTGGTGACCAGTAGCCCGGTAGACATGCCGGCTATTAGATCCGCTTCCCCTAAAAAAAGCATGGTAGACGATCCCAGAAATCAACGAAGATGCGACATCTCACTTTGTGGCTGTAGTCGAGTCCCGATGCATCAGGGATACCCATGCATGCACTCTGGACCACGCCTGTCAAGAGTACAGATTCGGCAGCTGGAGCGGGACAAGGCCAAAGGACGATGGTCGGTATGCTTTGATGGCTGAGCTTGTGAGCAACTTGCAACACATGGCTTCGAGACAGGCAACTGGCATGCTTCGCATCGGTTTTCTGAATCGTTGCCTTGAATAATATCTTTTCGATAGTGTCGTGACGCACAGAGGTGGACCGCCACTGATTCCAACCAGGGCAAGCCATATGGCAGGGTTTCTTGAACGCGCTCCCTTGTTCCAATGATAGATGCACGTAGCAACGTCCGGGGGAAAGAAGCCGTAGAAAAAAGACACACAGCATGACGCCGGAGCGTTTCACGTCCCGACGATGCTGGCTGACGGTTGACATTTGGGGGCACCGATTACGTCTCATTTCTGTAGAGTATACAGCAATGGCAACAGGTCGTGTCGAACTGCAGGTAGCCGCCAGCGAGCTAGGGTCGGTATGCCAGAATGTTCAGTTCTTGCAGTTACCAGGGTTGCGGAGAAGGTCGGTGCTGTCTGTCGACCATTGCGGGTAGGGGCAAGGCATGAGCAGTCCTCGAGATTGAACAGGGGCAGCCGGTGAATGAAGGATGGAAAAGCTGCACAGACAAGTGTAGATGAGGCAGTGGGTTCCAGATGGCTTTTTCCGATCCTTTGAGTACCGGTACGGTACGGTAAGCGACTCTTTGCTTTTTCGGGAGCCAATGGCAGCTGGGACGCGCAGAAGCATGGCCCATGGGGTTGCACACGATGCCTCCGAGTGGGCGGCCATGGGCTGGCTTTAGTTATTGGTGGCATTTCCGAGAGAGTTGCAGGCCATGCAGCGGTCCCATAGCGATGGAGACGTGGTCGAGCGCTCGGATCGGCAATCGTGGAGGCTGGCTGCACCGGATCTGGCGCTAAGGAGGACGAGATGTGGGTGAAGCTAAGCCGACGACGCTCACTGCCAGCCGTCTTGTCGTCGGCGGCTGCGGTAGAGCGACGGCTAACATGTTGACACCCGGCCAGGGCTTTGAATCTTGTTGGCTCTGGCGCCGTCTGTGATTCACCTGGCGGGCTCAAAGAGAGTGCTGCACACACGCGCGCTATCAGAAAGCGGAAGATGCTGTCGAGACCAATGGCGGAAAGCGGCCAGCCGTGAAGGAAGCTGCAGAGCCCTCCAGGACAGGCAAGACTCGCTCCATGTCTGCCACACCCACCGACGTCTACACAGTACATGGTAGAAGAAGGTATAAGACGGCCTACTCACCGGCTCACTCGTTGGTTATTCGATTATGTCAAGCATTGGCTCATGATTCCTTTCGCAGCTCGTACATAGCTTCTCACTCTCTCACTCTCTATTCCTGCCCCTCTCTTCAACGGTCCACGACATTGCGAAGAATCCGCTTCTCTGGTACGGTAGTGATCTTGATTTCGCTTGCGTGCATAAGGTAGCATCCTGCAGCAACACGTCCAGCCGCAAAGGTACGTTCGGGAGCGCCCCAGCTCTGTGAGAGGGGCACATGAACCATTGGACCATGGCCCGCAAAGGAGGATACTCCATCGTAAGCCGTCGAGCCAATGCCATATTGGTGGAATCCATGGTTGGGCAGACTAGTCCTCTTCATCAACCAGGAGGTCGTCGGCGGGCAGCCAGAGCATGGCTAATATAGCAAAGGAGGTTACAGAAGCCCTTTCGAGGAAACGCCTCCCTGCGCAATAGCAGCACAGGAATACCGACTTGCCATTGGAACCAAGACAACCTTCCTGTCCAAGCAACCCTCCCAACCGCCGCCCATTACACAGCCCTATCGAACACAACGTCGACTGTGTGAAGAGTGACTGCAGCATCTTGTGTCACGACTCGGGCACAAAGCCGAAATTGTGGAGAAGAAGCAAAGAAGAGCAGCTGCACTTCCACATAACTTACCTAGTCGTCGTTCCAAGTAGCCGGTGGGGAGTGACAAGGCAGAAGGTAAGCAGCGTTCATTTCGCTACGCATCACATTCCTTGCCTCGGCCTCCCCAATTCACCATCCTTGCTCTCCACATGGCGCGCCAGGTTTGCTGTCACGCACCTTTACGGCGGCGCTATTCAAGGACATGGAGCTGTGCATACCATGCCCTGCTTTCTGTTGTACCCAGTTGCATCATGTCTTTCGTCCATTCACTTGTTCGTTCGTTCCTTCATCCCATCCCTCCGTTCGGTCAATTCCCTTTTCTTCTTCTTTTGGCCGTCCACTCTGTCTGTACCATGTCAGCCTTCTTTTCCCTTTTTGTTGTCATCATCCATCTCCCTGTCTGTATACACATCAGCCCTGGCACAGTACGTCACTGTGCAGTAGAAATACGCCCTGGACCGTGCACGTTCGTTCTAGCCGAGGGCCGTCTGGAATGGGCCAATCAGCGCCCTCCGGATGCCGTCCTCGCGCTAACGGGATATTATGGGGCCGAACCAGGAACCTTTTGCACTTCCACCACCATCTCACCATGTATCATCCCTTCATGGATACCTCTTCCACGCCTATGGCCTGCTTTACTTGACCACAAATCTCGTGCTCTGTTTTGTTTTGCACTGCACTGCTCTGCTCTGCTCTGCTCTGCTCTGCTCTGCTCTGCTCTGCTCTGCTCTGCACTACTCTGCACTTCAAAACGATGACAGAGATTAGAGGGCCTCCTCCACTCTGGACTCCAAGCGTCCCAGAATCAAGACCGTGGTTGTCTGGTTGAACGGCGAGAGCATGCATGCCAGGAACGGGCTGCAATGACCCCTTCTGACTCGTGGCCTCATCTCATTTACTATTTTCTTTGTATAGCCATCTACCCTCGCTTTGCAAACTGCACCACTCGTTGTGGCCTCATATGTACGGCGTCGGTGTATTGGCACGCTTTTCCTTGTGTTCATCTCCGCATGCGTAATTCTCTACTGTCTCTTTCGTCATCCCCTGCATCCTTATCCGCCCATCCGACATTACGACTGCGCTCAGAGCAGCAATCACATAACTTTGAAACACGTGCTAAAGAAAAATAGGGACAGCCTTCTACAGATGCGAAGGGGCCCACGACGTGGACGAAGTAGAGATACAAATCCAGGCCGCGGAACGCCCATCAGGAGAGACGATTCAAATCCATCTTCAGCTTCCAGGACCAGGTCCACATCCCGCCAATCCGCCTTGCAGAATAGCCGCAGCCACGCGTCACTCAGAAGATCCGCTCGCATTGCAGAGTTACTCAACGGAGAGACACCCCAACAGCTCGCCGACGCCACATCTTCAATGGCTGACGTTGCAAGACCTAGGGCGCTAGGAAGCACATCTGTTCGATCGCGCCATCACTCTGGAAACTCTCGCTCTTCAGGACTGTCGAGGTCGGGCCGTCATTCCATATCGCCAGAAGATATTCGCTACGCAATGGACATCGTCGTCCAACCCCCCCGAACAGCTCGAGTCGGCCAAACGATCCCCGGAGCCATAGTAGTGCGGTTAAGAACGACCAATGCAGACCCCGACGACGCGGTTGCCGATTCGACAAACCTGGTCGCCGTCGCCACACTAGTCCCAGGCCCCAACTCTGCAGTGCCGACAGACCCATCCGTCCTCAACACCATTCTCGTTGGTAGACGCTTCGACTCGATCCACCCCTTTGCTGACGACGAAGCCGATGGATCGATAGCTTCCATGGACATGGCCGATCCCTATGGCGTGGGTTATATGCGCTTTCCAGAACTCATCATCCGCCAAGCCGGCACCTACCGGATACGCATCACCCTCATCCGCATCCGCAACTCTTCCTCAGAGCCACCAGTATCCTCAGCAGGCAATGGCTCAGCGGTGCATGTCATTGATAGCAACCCAATCGTTGTCAATGGCGGGCAAACAACCAACACGGCCACATACAATGGTAAGTACATGGTGGCCACTTATTGATTTCACCCCCAATTCCTGATTCTCTTTTTTTTTCAAAACCATAGGGGCCGACGATTTTGACGATGTAGATGATGGTGGCTGGCTCGAGGTCCTGCACTCCATCTCTGAGCGGCGTAGATCGCGCGAATAATCGTTTTCTTGCTCATGTTTTGGAGGTGGCGATCTTTGTACGATAACTGTTTTACTCACTATTGAATTGGCGCATACGCCCCACGAGGCAGATGGAATGGTATGGGCGTGGTGAGGGAACGTTGTACGTGGGTGGTTGGGTAACACATGGGCTTGCATGGATCTGCAGGCCCGGCGCAAGGGATACACGGTCTATTTTGTCTTTTCCCTGTGGGCAGCCCAATGTTCTTGTGGCTCATGTTATTGTTAGTCTTTTGGGTATCTTAGAGCATGTAACATGGTATCTGCATTTCGAGAATAAGAAACATGGCAACATTGAACAAAGACAGACTACTCTGGTCGCGAGGCGTTTTGTGGCATATGAGCTCCCAGACCTGATTTCCCGTGACGCCAGGCTTTGTCGAGACGAGCTTTGTCGAGACCAAGTGTCGCAGACAGAAGACATGAGATGTAGACTCGTTCTTGCTCTTCTTCCAAGCAGCACGCACACGTGGAAGCAGCCTCTTGTAGACTTGTCCAATCATCCCAGCTCTCTAACCACATGATCATACAGCGGTCCACTCGAGTCGAAATTACCCGGCCACATTTCCCTTGTGCTGCCGAGCCAGGCAAGATGAAGGCGAATACGAGAAAGTATTAATGTATTTTCATATGCCATGATGTGGGTTGAAAAGTGCAGAAAGTGTGACTTTAGGCATGCCGCATAAGTAGGATAGTTCACATCTATTTATACACGCTCTTCCGGTCTGGGCATGTTGTTGATATCCAGCGGGCCGGCTAAAGGTCGAGAACGTGGTCTGGAAGCCCAGCCATCCTGGATTTCGGGATTTTCCTTCTCAATGGCTGTTGTTGGGTCTAGGACCTGCATTGAGTTTAGTGAGACTGAGGCTGTTGTTATTATCCGTGGTTGTTGGACGGGTTGTTTGTATGTTTGGCTTGTGTGGTATGTTTGTTGATGGTACCGTACGGTACAAGTCGAAAACGTCTCTCTTCCTGCCTGAAAAGAAAGACTTGTTTGAACTACTATACATTCGAAGGCATTCGTATCCGTGACCGCTGTTTTCAGCCCCTGAAACTCGCTATATCATGGCACTGAGCGTCTGTCGTGAAACTACCAACATGAGGAACAGTAACATATTTCTACTATGTCGATAGATCAAATCTTTATTGATACTTGTTTACGATTTCGTATCTACATACCCTACCGGTATACCCGAAGTCACGCGTGCCACAACAATCACTCTATCACAGCTTACTACCTGGCCGCCCGACTAAGCGACCACAACCCTAATGACTCTAGTCGAGCCTCATATATACATTTCCTGGATTCGGAATAAGGTAATCCGTTCCAGACCAGCGATATGTGTATTGGACAACAGTCACGATATTAAATTGAAGACGGCGGCTGTGTTGCTTGGCGTGTAGATGCTCAACGGAGCGGCCATGTGCTATCGAGTAGACGAAGGATGTGTAACGACAAAAAACTATAGAACGATTCTATACGCATGGTATAAATATGGCAAAGACGATCTTTCCCCTTTCTTCAATTCACTTCTCTTCACCACTGCCACCTACCATCCCTACGCAAAGTCCCATCATGCATTGTAAAATCGCCACCCTCGTTCTTCCAGCTCTCGTAGCTGCCTATTCTCAAAGCGGCTCTGCGCCAGACCCAAGCCAGATTACTATTCTCGATACTTCGTACTCTGGTAACGGATGTCCTCAGGGCTCAGTCTCCACTAGCAGCTCGCCTGATAAAACTGTGCGTTTCCTCCACATCCTTCTTCTCTCATTCCTCTCATATATCTCCATACTATGACGAGTTGTATAAGTCACATGTCCTCTTAAAACTCGCTGTTTCTTCGAGGATTTCAAACAAGACTCCCGTTTGAAACTTCCCAGCTCACCAAAAGAAATTTGACAGGTGATTACCTATGGCTTCGACCAATTCCAGACGTACATCGGGCCGGGCACCGTACCTGCGGATCGCAGTAAAAATTGCCAGATTCACTTGAACCTCAAGTACCCCGGGGGGTTCCAATATGCTGTTGTAGATGCGACGTATCATGGGTTTGCGCGGCTGGATGAGGGGGTTACAGGGACGTTTATTACAACGTATTATTTCTCGCAGGATGCGGGGAAGACTGTGAGTACCAGAGTACCACCCCAGTACACACACACAACTAATCCACACATAGCAAACAACCCGCATGACAGCCGTCGGCTCCCCTGCCCTTGCCCTTGGCCAAGTCTACACCAAGCAAGACACTGTCGAAACCACGGCCACCATCTGGTCACCCTGTGGCACTACCGGCATCCTTAACATTAACAATCGCATCTCGCTGACCAGCAAGGCGGCGAGCCAGGCTGGCGAAATGTCAAATGATGATGCCACGGTTGCGTTTACCCAGCAGTTGCATGTGGCGTGGAAGAAGTGCGAGCCGGGTGCGGGTGGAGGGAGTGGGGAGATTGGGGTCGGCATGGGGACGCCGAGTTCAGAGGGGAGGTGGGAACGGTAGGAGGCTTTGTCGTATGTATGAATTGGGGGGGGGGGGGGGATATTTGGGTGTGCAGGAAAGAGGGGTTTGGTTGTGAGGTTGCGAGATGGCTGACAGTATCTACTCGAAGTTTTGTGGGCTTAGTTTGTTTGGCGATTGGTATTGCTCGGGGATACCGACGCTGGCATGCTTGTTAGGTAGAATGAATCAATGTAGAATAGCATGTGAGACTGTTCCCTCTGAGTTCAAGTCGGAAAACTGTCTGTTGGAGAGTGGAACCTGTGTGAGTTAGCCAAGGGAAACATTGTGACTGTGGATCTCCGGAAGATAGTTTTGGTAATGACGAGTAATAACGCAAGCGAGAGGTCAGGTACTTTGTGTAAGAACCTAGGAGGCACGTTATCCATGATTCCTCTGTTTAAAATTACTCTTACTGACAAAGCCGTTTAAGTCTCCAGCAATTTCTGGTCAGGTGTAGATGAAGCCTGTACGCATGCTCCGGCCCATTGCAAGTCTGATTCAGCCGCAATAACTAAATCAGCCTCGAAGTCGAATATCCAGCAACTTCCGCGAGTTACGATTCAGCGGCCTTGCAAAGAGATACTTCACTTATTCATAGAGTGTGGGCCTGAAAGGGGCGCTCCCAGGCTCCTCTCGATAGCAAACAGCTATGCTACATTCTAGCCAATGCAAATTAGAAAGGTGACAGCCTTGCGCAAAATTGGTACGCTTTGTTAGTAAACAGTACTATCCACTCCAAGAACGGACCAGGCGGAACCAGAATACCAACACAGCTGTTAGATCTGGAGCTAAGTCAACTTAGCCTTGCGCACTGTAAAGGGGTCGAAAAGACCATTTCGTTGTAGGTAGGTGGGAGTCTTTGTGCACGCTCCAGAAGCGCAACAAAGTACATCCCTAAGAGCTTGAACTAATCCAATAAACGGAGATATACTTAGGACATAGATGCGTGGTGTTCTGCACAGACGTTCGGTTGTGGCAGTGGTGGAGTATGGGCGATGAGGCTGAAGTGTCCAAGGTAAACTTTCTTGCCAAGGGGCGATCGACCGAGGCGAGCCGTGGACTGGTCCGTCCCATCCTTCAACCGCCTTTCCGATCTTCCAACCATGGCTTCTGTGCGTGGAGGCTTTCTACATGATAGCTTCATCAAAGACAGCTGTAATTCAATTGACAAGTCATTAATACGTGTTAGTACACGCTGTCACCTATGATCCCTGATGGTATAGTCAGGATGGGAGGTATGGTAGGCACCCGGTCAATACACTTTATCACGTGCTTACATTGGCAACACCAACATACAACGTCAAGGGAGACGATACCTCAATGTTACCAATTATTCCTGCGTACTTTGTGTGGTACCATTGCTGGAGACTTCCTGGAGAATGATACAGTGGTCGGTCTTCATTGTTTCTAATGCCCCTGATCAGAGCAGCTAGGTGCGGACCCTACCGGTACCTAGAGTATGGTAGGTTCGGAGCTTGAAATCCAGCCACAGTCCGCTCTAATCTCATTCCATCGCTGTCATGTGTCGTCGATGGTCGTCCCGCCAAGTTTTGATTTATGACAGTGACCGAGAATTCTTGATACCGGATCAGAGTCAACAGTGCCACATCTATCGTACATTACAACGTTCAATATCCAGGAAAGTAGCTTCAACATTGTGTACAGAAGTTTCACAGTGTAGAATGCATGATGTAGCATGGTGTTTGAATGTGTCTCTTTCTCTAAACGAGATCTGAGGCTCCAATGATTCACATAGTGTATCTGATTGGGACCACACTTCAGTGTTTCCAGACAATCCATCTACCTTACTGCACCAAGATCCTTGTGCAAAAGGCCTGCAAACCGGGGCAGAGCGTCTATCGAAAGGATAAACAGTGGTGCCTGAGCTAGAACATCTAGCGTGGCCTTCGAACGAAGGAGCCAGTGAATCGAAAACGCGACTGTTTGACTTAGGATGAGGCTGGGCCTAAGACTTGGAGTGTTACTCTAAGATCGCATCACTTGGTGCTTGTTTTGTGGACCGCGAGAGCGTACCTGCATATGGTACACTCCACATGTTCTTGGCGACTATTTTGTGGACCGCGCTCGTACATACCATCCAACATCAGTAGGCTACTGATCGGATCAGGGTACCAACCTTTTGACACGGGACTAAGTGAAACAGGCGAGAGATGGATCGGATCCACAGGAAGTATGGAACTCAAATCACCCCTCCAGCCACGAGGCATATGAATGAGATACAGTATATAAGATAGCTTGGGACAAGGCCAAAGAATCATCACCTTCACTCTCTACTTCTCATTCTTCTTTATACATGCTGTACCCCTCCGTCTTAGAAAATTTAGACATACAATCGTTCAAGATGCGTTCTTTTCTCATTATCGGCGCTGCCGCTCTCACTGCTGCATCCCCTGCACCACAGGCGATCGACTTTCCCCTTCTCAACGCTTTGCCGGTCCCCCTCCAAGGTCCTCCTGCTGGTCTTGGGCTAGCTCAGGTCAACGCATACGATCAAGCAAAGGCCCAATACGCCGCTGCAGCAGCAGTCGGTGGTATTGCCACTGCAAAGCAGGCGAAGAGAAGTACCGCTCCCGATGCCGATATTGAGGCTCGCTGGGTGCCAGCCATGACTTCTGCTCCCGCGGCTGGGGTTACAGCTGCCCCTACGGCCAACCCCTCATCGACCAACTTCGCCCCTTCATCCTGCGTTCCAGTCGACTGGGTGAACACCTTCGCCTTCACGGCTGACCCGGCCTGTGCTACACAGATCGAGGTTGGCACCTACTGCGGATTTATCAATCCCGATGATCCCTGTGCTGCTCAACCAAACGCATATGCTCCTCTCACTACGCCTGATACTGCCGCTGCTTTCAAAGACAACCATGTCTACGATGACCTCGCTAATTCGGCCGTGACACCTGCTGGATATGACAGGTCTTTCGTGAACCTTGATGGTTCTGTCGAGGGAAGCGGATACCTCGCCTACAAGGAACTTACCAGCTACGATGTCAATGCATGCTCTGCGTACTGCGATGCCACCAGCACATGCACAGGCTTCAACATCTTCATCGAGCGCGACCCCAAGTGGAACCCAAACCAGTGCTCGTGCAGCAGCCCCGATTCCGTCGCTAGGTTCAAGTGCAGCATTTTCGGCCAGGATGTCACCAAGAACGCTGCCACCAACGTCGGCCAGAACCAAGGCAGCTTCCAGGTCGTCATTGTCGGCTCGAACGGCTACAACAAGAAGAAGTACACTCCCCCTACGCCTCCCAGCTGCAGCAACCGCCAGAGCTGCGGTACCAAGCTTCACAACCAGGCCCCATACTGCATGGGCACCAAGACTTTCCAGGGTCCTTTCGATCCCTCTCTTTGTGCTGCCTACGCACAGGCCCAGAACACAGCCAACAGGAAGTCTGGTATGATGGGTGCGTTCATGTCCATGTTTGGCTTCAACAAGGGTGGATGCGTTCAGTTCCAGGCTGCCTATCTGGAGAAGTCGGGTAAGGGCTTTGGTACCCACTGCCGTCTCTTCACCAAGAAGTTCTCTGCTTCCCAGGCCAACTTCGATGTTAGCTCCAGTGGCTCAGCTTGGGGATGCCAGAAGTCGTTCACCTACGATGTCGATGTCAACGCCAGTTTCAACTGGGCTGGTTGGTCCATGAAGAAGTCCAAGCGCGACGAGTAATCTTTCCGCTGCATCAGCAATTTTTTCACGACCACGTCTTCGAGTGTCCCTTTCTTGAGGTTAGCATTAGCTGATCGATAGGTTAACTTGTCGATCGAATTGAATGTCTCTATGTCTTTCTCTCTCCTTATTCGAGCAATATTAGCTCGTTTCAGTCACTCCTTTCAGAATGGGGTACTGCTGTTTGTGTAATTATAGTATCAGCATAGTCTTAATAGAATGATTGTTTTTTTACAAGAATGATACTTCTCATGCCATATCGAGTGTAAAGAAATGTCCCTCGATGATGAGCGTAAGGGATGATTGCAACTGGTGTCAACCAAACCCAGGTCCAACATGCAACACAGTCACGCCACGTCATTTGGCTCTGTCGGACCGTCAGTGCCGTATTGGTCGAGTTTGGTAGAAAGGAAGGGCTTGGCCGTCCAAGCAATCCATCAGCTCTAGCACCTACCGCAACTATGTAGCGTATATAGGCCGCCCCACTGCGCGTGATCATCCTCTATGCACGCACGGTTGGGGTAGTTCATCACTAGGTACCTACCTACCTTCACAGTCATCCCTAGCATTGAAATCTCAGCGCACTGGCAAAGCACATGGAAGGAAATGATGAGAAGCAGAAGCGTGTATGAGGCTGAAAAAAAAAGTATTCAAGGATTGAAGCCCTGCAACTAAATCCTAGAGACCCGAGAGCCTCAAGATGAAGCCCCTGGACCCTGGGATGAAACGTGGGGAACGCGGACATGCGGGGAAGCTACGGTAGGGGGAGCGGGGTGGCGGGGTCATGTTCACTCGGCAAAACAGGACGCGAAGGAAATAGGAAGCTCAAAGGTAGGTACCGCCTTATGTATCGCCGTCTCTTTCTCTCTCTCTCTCTCTCTCTCTCTCTCCCTCTCATCTCTCGCAACACCGTGGCACCTTTTAGTGTTTGCCCACATAGCCTGAACCCTCCAGCTGCTGGCTGTGCCCTCGCCTGGAACACAATCGCCAGCAGATGTGGGTGCCCACCTTCTCCCTTTGCGCCTCTCCCCCCAAGCCAGCAACATGAGCGCCTCTGGTAACTGTCTCGCCGGCTACAGAGCTGTCGCCTGGTGTTCCCCGCGCTCTGTCCGCCTGAAGCTCTCCTCTTCGACCTTTGCCAGGTGGTCAACACCAGTGATTCAGCGCGAATACCACTCGCGATCCAAGCAGCCATCTACAACTACGCGGACCCTGACCCGCGTGCCCCCGCTGTACCTGCAGCCGCATGTCTCGCAGGTAACCGCTGTTGCGCGCTATGCAACCCATGCCTCGGATCCGCACGAAGAGGAGTTACCCACCACGCCGCCTTTCAGCGCTGGGCCCTACTCGAACTTGACCATTGGCGTCCCAAAGGAGAGCTATCCCGGCGAACGCCGTGTAGCCATAACACCCCAAAATGTGGCACTTCTGCTCAAAAAGGGCTTCTCGCGCATCTTGATTGAACGAGGAGCAGGTCTTGAGGCCCAGTTCACCGATGAGGCTTATGAACAGGCGGGTGCCAAAACCGTGGACCGCAGGAACGTCTTCTCTGAAAGTGACATCCTGCTCAAGGTTCGAGCACTCAGCATTGATGGGGAAGAGAGTGAAGTGGATGCTATGCGTGAAGGTGCTACTGTTATTTCGATGCTATATCCCATGCAGAACAGGCCAGTTGTGGAGCGCATTGCTTCGAGAAAGGCCACTAGCTTTGCCATGGACATGGTGCCTCGTATCTCACGCGCTCAGGTCTTTGATGCATTGAGGTATGCGTGTCACAAAGAGTCTAATATATCGGGGCTGATATGATCTATCTAGTTCAATGGCCAACATTGCTGGATACAAGGCCGTTTTGGAGGCTTCGAATCACTTCGGCCGTTTTCTGACTGGCCAAGTCACTGCAGCTGGAAAGGTAGACAAGATTCCCTTGAGCCTGTATGGCCTGTTCTAACAATCACGCAGATCCCACCATGTAAAGTCTTGGTGATCGGAGCCGGTGTCGCAGGGCTGAGTGCCATTGCTACCGTACGTATCCCTTCCTCTGATTGGATTGACTTGCTCATGACCTACAGGCTCGTCGGATGGGTGCTATCGTTCGTGGGTTCGACACTCGCTCAGCAGCGCGTGAGCAGGTGCAATCTCTTGGTGCTGAATTCATCGAAGTCGACATCAAAGAAGACGGATCTGGCGCTGGTGGCTACGCAAAAGTCATGTCTAAAGAGTTCATCGAAGCTGAAATGAAGCTTTTCCACGAACAGTGTCGAGAAGTCGACATCGTCATCACCACAGCTCTCATTCCGGGTAAACCTGCGCCAAAACTCATCACGAAGGCTATGCTCGGTGCCATGAAGCCTGGTTCGGTCGTCGTGGACCTTGCAGCTGAAGCTGGTGGTAACTGCGAAGCCACCGTTCCAGGACAATTGGCCAAGTACAATGGTGTTACAGTCATTGGTAGGTGCTATGAACAAGTTTTATTGATACCGCACTCACAAATCTGGTTAGGATACACTGATCTACCATCTCGCTTGCCGACTCAATCATCGACTCTCTACTCAAACAACGTCACGAAATTCTTGCTCTCATTGGTACCCAAAGACAAGCGTGAGAAATACTACGATGTTGACCTTACAGATGAAGTCACTCGCGGAGCGATTGTTACATACAACGGCAAGATTCTTCCAGTTGCACCACGGCCTGCACCTCCACCAGCCCAAGCTAAGCCAGCCCCCTCTCCAGAGGACCAAGCGGCCAACGTTGTTGCACTCACTCCCTGGCAATCTCAGGCTCGTCAAGTTGCTGGTGTGACAGCTGGTATGACTGGTGTCCTTGCTCTAGGAAAGGTTACCGGGCCTCTTTTCATGTCAAATGCTTTCACATTTGCACTGGCGAGTTTAATCGGATACAGAGTCGTCTGGGGAGTGGCACCAGCTCTTCACTCTCCACTCATGAGTGTTACTAACGCCATATCTGGAATGATTGGTGTTGGCGGTCTCTTCGTGATGGGCGGAGGATATTTCCCTGAGACGATCCCACAGGCTCTCGGCGCTCTTTCTGTCTTGCTTGCCTTTGTCAACGTCTCTGGAGGTTTCGTCATCTCTAAGCGCATGTTGGATATGTTCAGACGGCCTACCGACCCTCCAGAGTATCCTTGGCTTTACGCGATACCGGCTGCGCTCTTCGGTGGTGGCTACATCGCAGCCGCTTCGACCGGCATGGCTGGCTTGGTTCAAGCTGGCTACCTGGTCAGTAGCATACTTTGTATGACTTCGCTTTCTGGTCTTGCGTCCCAGCATACTGCGCGACGCGGTAACATCCTTGGTATACTCGGTGTATTCTCTGGTTTTCTCGCCTCTTTGGCTGCTGTTGGCTTCGCACCAGACGTCCTTACTCAGTTCGCTGGAGTAGCATCTGTCGGTATCGTGGCCGGCCTGATGATCGGACGTAGGATTACACCCACGTCGCTCCCGCAGACTGTAGCAGCTCTCCACTCCGTGGTTGGTCTTGCGGCTGTCCTCACAAGTATCGGCAGCGTTCTGGGCCACGCCGACGTCGAGATGTCTACAGTCCATATGGTCTCCGCATACCTTGGTGTTCTTATCGGCGGGGTGACCTTCACTGGAAGTATCGTCGCATTTTTGAAGCTAGCTGCCAAAATAAGCACAAAGCCTTTGGTACTCCCCGGTCGCCACCTCATCAACGGCACTCTGCTCGGAGCTAATATGGCCACAATGGGCGCTTTCCTAGCATATGCACCTGGAGCACCTTTGATAGGTGCAGCCTGCCTTTGCGGTAATGCAGTACTGAGTTTCATCAAGGGTTATACCACTACAGCAGCTATAGGCGGTGCGGACATGCCGGTTGTCATCACAGTCCTCAATGCCTACTCGGGCTGGGCACTTGTTATGGAGGGCGCCATGCTGGACAACTCTCTACTGACTTCGATTGGTGCGCTGATAGGAGTATCGGGCTCTATCCTTTCCTACATCATGTGCGTAGCCATGAATCGGTCCCTGACGAACGTTCTATTCGGCGGCATAGCGCAGGCACCGCAGAGCCAGGCCAAGATTGAAGGAGAAATTACAAAAACTACGCCAGATGAAGTTGCGGACGCTCTAGCCAATGCCGAAAACGTCATCATCGTAAGTGTTTTGAGCATTCCATTTCATGTACTAAACGCACACTAACACTGTCATAGGTCGTAGGCTACGGCATGGCCGTTGCAAAAGCCCAATACGCGATCTCCGACTTTGTCAACATGCTCCGCGCAAAAGGAGTCAACGTGCGTTTCGCCATCCACCCCGTCGCCGGCCGCATGCCCGGCCAATGCAACGTCTTGCTCGCCGAAGCCTCGGTCCCCTACGACATCGTCCTGGAAATGGACGAGATCAACGACGACTTCCCCGACACCGACGTCACGCTCGTCATTGGCGCAAACGACACGGTCAATCCGATTGCGCTGGAGCCCGGCAGTCCGATTGCAGGCATGCCTGTGCTGCATGCGTGGAAGAGCAAGAATGTGGTGATTATGAAGAGGGGCATGGCGAGTGGGTATGCCGATGTGCCGAATCCTATGTTTTACATGGAGGGCACTAAGATGTTGTTTGGAGATGCTAATGATAGCTGTAATGGTGAGTGCTGTTGCTACCTTGGGCGTCTTATGAATGATGCAATGCTGACTTCTTGGTGTTCTTAGCAATCAAACGCGCGCTTGAGGAGAAGATCAAGGGATTGTAGATGGAAGGTAGCTACGGTGAGTTTTTTTGCATGGAAGGACAGGAGGAGAGGGGTGTAGTTATAGTGATGGGTGATGAACAACGTGTTTATACCAGAGAGGTTGGATATATGGAGACACTCACTATTACGAGTACTTCTTGCTGCTTGCATAACATCCTAGGTATAAAAGATGCATTGATCGCATCATGGATTTTTATTATTCGTAATCTCAGTGACTATGTATGTCGTCATTGTCTCATAAATAAGCCCAGCCACTTTCCGAGGCACAGACAGACCGAGTGTTGGTTGATGTCTCCTTCGTCATGGCTATAACATATCGCATCTTGCAGGCGGGTAGCGGCGCAGCCCATTCTCCTGATATAACATCTGTCCGTAACATATCCCATGGCACAATAAATACCTGTTCTTTGAAACGGCCCCCCACACTTATATAGCCAAACGATGATTCCCAATCCAGCCAACCCACACACCCCCAATCTCGCGCGCCAGATCCTCGGCCGTCTTCCCATCTGCATCCTTCAAACTGCGAATATCCACCTTATCTTCGGTCAACCCCCTCATTATTCCCAATGACTCAGCCTCCTGGAACACCTCGGCCGGAAATTCCAACAGATCGAGGTTACTCGCCAGCAACAGCAGTAACCAGGCTACCTCGCGACTCTGCGCCTGCACCGCGGCATGCAATCCACTCTGCATATGACCAATCGGATCCTGATAGCGCAGCAACTTATCGATTCCAACCTCCCTCGCCGGGTTATCCGTACTCCCCATCTCAACATCCTCACCGTCATCGTCTTCCTCGACATTGTCGTCCATCAGCATGTCGATGACGGCCTTGTAGTCGCCCTCGCGGCAGAATTCGAGAAAGGCGCGGGCCTTGCGGTCTTCGGGGTAGGCTTTGAGGTAGGATTCTTCGGTGAGGAGGGGCAGGATGTCGAGGTCGGTTTGCAGTCCGCCTTCGTTGTTGTAGTTGCAGGGGACGCGGGTGCCGGTTGGGCTGCGGGTGGAGATTTCGGCATTGCAGGAAGGGCAGAAGGTGATTTCGTATGAGGAGAGGAGACAGTCCCTGTTGCGGAGTGGTTGTTGGTATGGGAGGGGTGGTTTTCAAGGGTGGGGTGGGGATCATGGAGGGAGAAGATGGAGTATTTACCAGTGAAAGTGACATCCGCAGATTAGCTGTACATCATCTGGTACCGTCTCTGGGGCAGCGGCGGGCGCTTTGCCAGACGAGGTGCCGGCTGCGGGTTGTTGCTCGTATTCTTCTTCGTCCGAGTCGGCGTCGATTTCGACCACGAGGGGCTTTTGACAGACTACGCAGCCCGACATGATTTTGAGATTTTTGTTTTGGTGGAGTTTTGGGTGAAATGTATAGCAACACAAATGTCGCGGGGTGGTCATGTGGGGGATGTGAGCTTTTTGTTGCCAAGAGTTACAAGGCTGACGGTTAGACGCGTCTCGCGTTGGTGTTGAAGATGGTTAGCGTGCGACGTCATGGCTCCCATGTGGCCTGTTGTGGGAAACAGGACTGGAGAGTGAAAGGAGGGACTTGTCCTCGTGTCGTGAGTTTGAAAATTGATGAAACGAATTCCTCTGCATCTCTAGGTAGATGTAGACATACATCCTCAGCGCAGCCTCGCATAGGCAAGTACTACCATACGCATCCCTAACCACCCCGCCCGAGCAATTCATCTTTACCAACATGAGGAATCAGTTAATCTCAAGATAGATCAAAGCACTGCATTTCATATCATTCCATTTCGTACAAAGCCATGTCAATCTTACTTCCAGTTCTCTTCTCTACCCGCCTTCTTCTGCACTTATATATATACACCCTTGCTCTCATCCTTTCCCATCTCTACCAAACTTCTCTCAAATATTCATGTACCCAGGTTGCTGATCTGCCTCCCACTTCCCCTCCACTGTCAAATCTCCAAGCACAGACATCTTCCTGTCAATACTCTTCATCCTCTTCTGCTCCTGCTCATAGCAATCCACATACAGCGCCTGCCAATCCAACAACAACACCCCATACTGCCAACTACACCACTTGATCGACCGCCGCGAAACTTTGTACTCCCAGCGACCCTGGCGCGTCTCAACGACAATACTCGCATCGCACCACGGCATGAGCTGCGCTAGGAACCGGTGTATAGCATTATCGTGGCGGTATCGCCGGTGGGCGAGTTTGCGACGCCGCGAAACGGGGATGTGGAAGTCCTGGTCAACGGAGAAGATTCCAGTGAGTGGGTCTTCAGAGAGGAAACACGTAAAGTGTAGGTTTCGTGGTTCAGATTTGGTGCCAAGAGTCGAGGTTACGGTGCAGGAGGAGAGGAAAAGAGAGAGGGATTTGAAGTGTGGGGGGCGGGAGGCAAAGATGGGGCCTCTGTAGGCCGTTAGTGACGAGTAATCGTTATTGCGGCGTTTGGGCCAGCTGCAGAATGATTTGAATCCCATGATTGATGATATGGACTGTGGGTGGAGTATGAGAGGGGGGGGGTTATTGCCATTGGGAGTCAGGTCAGCAGGTTTGCAGACTCTTTTCATGTGCGGAGACAGCATTCTTAGTCAACCAAGTGTATTGGACACCTCGCCCGATCTATATGCACCCTTGGGGATAGTTTCTGATATTTGGAGAGGCCATAAAGTTTCCATACTGCCGGGACTACTGTTGTAGGGCCGGCCCGTTAGTGTACCGACCTCACCATCACGAGGTAGCTCAGATCCGTTGTGGGTACTGGCAATAGCCCAGGAAACGATAATCCTGTGGAGGAACATGGCTGTTTGCGGAATTGCAAGTCAGCTGTGAAACATGGCAAGATTGCAGCGGTCTTTAAAGGTACATGAGCCATACTGTGCTGACAGCCAAACTAAACCGGCTAGGTACAGAGAGGAAGGAACTGTGGATGGAAATCCATAGATATTGATGACTCAAGTGATCAAAAGAGTACATGCAAAAGTTCCGCTTCAAAACCTTACTGCACAACTTCCCCACGTCGTCTGTCCATCATTCTCTCGACCCTCTCCAAACCTTTCCCATCATCAACCTCACCTCCCTCTTCCCCAATAAACTTCTCGAACTCTCCCTCCTCCACAACATCCTCAAGCCCACCCCTCGCCCTCATCTTCCCCCTCCTCCACTCCCTGCTCCAATCCCCCCTAAACATCTTCCCCTCCCTCTCCCTCTCCTCCCTTCCCATAACCGCCACTTTGCTTTCCCGATCCCGAATCTGAATCCCCTTCCCTCGAGTCCGACATATCACTTTATTAGCTCCCACGCGCTGGGAAAGTGGAACATCCCAGTCGCGCTCCCAGTCTGCGTGTACGTTGTTTGCCGTGCTTGAAGAAGCAGTGGACGCGTAGGATCCGCGCCTGCCACATAGCTGTGCAAGCGTATCTTTGCATATTGCTTCGCGGGTGCGGACGCGGGAGGAATGGGATGCAGAACGTGGACCCGCGTGCTGGGCGTCGTAGGCGTGGGACGGTTCACGGGAGACGCGAGGGTATCTTGACTTTGCTGGCTCGCAGTACGATAGCTGGGGTACAGCACTGGTCATGTTGGGAAGAAGGGGGCGTGGGCCGCGTGGTCTTGATGTTATTGGATAGGCCTGTGTAGTATTATAGGCGTGCGAGTGAGAAGATCCCGAGCCGGGGTATCTGTGGTTTATGCTGGTGAGGTAGTCATAGTATGTCATGTTGGGGGGTTTGCGGCTGTTCATCCGTGGGGGTTTTGCGGGGGCGCTGCAGGGCCGACTGGTAATCATCGTCTTTGGTGGTGTGGAGGTCTGTCTGAAGTGGGTAGGAGAGGCTGAGGCGGTGGAGTGGTTGGGAGGCACGGGATCGTTATGTTGGTGGACACTGTTGGTCAGTCTGGGTGACCTTTTGATGATGGCTTCGCTGTATGCATGCGATGTTCCGGAGCTTTGGTGTGGCCCCGTATTTGAGCGTGATACTGGGCTGTGATGAGGAATATCACGGCCATTGTTGAGTTTGAAGTAACTGCTAGGATGGTATTTGGCGGCGTTGTCGGACCAGAAGGCTTCCCCGAGCGTATCTCGTCTTGAGATGTGGCTATATTCGGGATCTGGTGTAGATTTAAAGGTCTTTTTCAACCACTTTGTAAACCTGTTTTGTTTCTCAGGCTGTAGCATCTTGATAGAGACCTTAAAGGAGAGCTCAGAATCTACAGTAGGAGTGTTTAGTAAAAGAATTTAAAGTGTGATAGAGTTTGAAAACAAAATAAGAGGTTGAGTGTGTAACTGGGAAAAGCGATCGTGCTCTATGAGTTGCTAAATATTGTGGCTCCAATGGTACTAGGCGTCGGCACCAGCAACTTGCTGATGCCTCATTATGTTAGCCTACCGTTCAACCATGGAGTAAAGCCGCTTCATGAGTCAGAGAAGCATGCATATATGATCTCAATATCGCAATTCAAGACGGTGTAGCACTATGTTTTTTTTTGTTTGAAAGTACATAGAGATCTTGTAAGCTCAAATCGAGGGGATCGTCTCTCGGTATGAAGCACGCATGATAGTATTGAAGATATCCTAATGTAAAGCTCTTCTTGAACTTGCTATGTAACCCTTAGTCATCTATGAAACAAGAAAAAATCTCGTTACCAGTATATCTGTCGTTGAATTGGCAACAGCTTGCATATCCGTGTCCGCAGTCCCGTGGTACGTGCATGTGCTGGTTCAATTAGTTACACTGGTTATGCACAGCTAGATCAGAACAAAGCATAGTATTTGTAAGTACTAGCATAATTCATCCTGGGGTATGCTAAAAAAAATTAAGTGCCCGCTACCAGAAATCTGCCCTTCTTTCATGTACAAGTGATTCTGCGTCCAGAATGAGAATAAAATCAACCCAGATGCTGCCCTGAATACCGTACCTCGATTTCAGCCATTAGGCATACAGTCTTGTCTTGCAAAAAGCTACGTTCTATCTGGAGTTCACTGCATATACACGATATTGCATAGAAGTATGGTGCCACTAGTGTTATCTCCGCATCTCGGCATCCATGAACGGGTGGCCCGGTACCAGAGAGTAGGTACGCTAACCAGCCATCATGTGCTCATCGAACCCCCTCTTTGAAACGTCAAGGAGGTCAACATTTCTGTCTGCAAGTGTGCTTTGAGACTAGCACTTGGAAATCTGAACCGTGCTAATTTCTGCATCGCGATACGTCAACCCACGTAAAGGACTTCCAAAGCTTGCTCGATAGTATGTTTTGATCCAGAAAGTACTGTTGTGATAGTGTTATTATAGGCGGAAATGGGTAGCTGTCTGTCGGCTATGAGGCGTGGCTGACGTTAGTATCATCCTCAATGTGAGAATATTAGTCTCCCAGGCGTGTGTGATCAGTTTCCTGTGGAGTTCTCCGTCAACTACTATACCTGTAGCTGAAGCTCAAGCCAAATCCAGAGGGAACGGACCGTTGTAAGGAATGGTCAAAGCTACATATGTGCTGAGGGGCTTACAGATACTAGGGTGGCCCTAGAAAGACCCACCCTGTGAGCTTCACACGGAGTCATAATGGCTCTTCTATTGTATCTAATGATGTTCATCCCTGTAAATACATAGCCGATGCTGCTGAAACTTGACAGCCATGCAGAGCGATACGGATGGGGAAGCTCCTGCTGCCAACCGCCTTTTGACTTCAACCCACTACCTCATCCCCGAGAATTGTTCCATGATATCTCACAAGCCCACTGGTTGCTCTATGGAAGATCTATGCATCATTTCTCAAAAGGATGGTTGATCTCCCTCTGCCTACAAGAATTTAAGTCAAGATTTAAGTGGCAGCGTTTAGCTCCCGCCTCCACATCGTATCCCTTCTGTTCACCCATATCGTCAACAGCGGACACCCTCAAACATGACTCTGTAAATCTCTAGACCTGATTCGTATGATACCATCACGTAAACGAGTCAAGCAATAGGATGGGGCAATACTCTGTCTGACACCGCGCGCTGTGAGGCCCAAATTCAATCTTGCAGCCTTATGAATTGGACAATAACTAGCAATCATCTGGGAAGTCAGCATTCAATTTGCTCCGAGATTTCTGAAAGTATAGGTAAACGGCTCACTAAGTTAGTTTTCGCAATGGGGACGCGTTCAAGAGAGTCTTGTCTCGGCTAAGCGTAACATGTTTCAGGCTTACCAGTGCAGGTGCCTCAGGTGTGTCTCATCCCGGCCGCTGCTCGCGATCCTGCAGAAGACCCACACAAAAGCTCCCAAGAACGTCAGAAATGTCAATGCAGAATAGCGTACGTTCTAATTTGGCGGATGCTAAAGCCCCGCAGCAGCCATATTTATTCATTGTACCAATCAAGAAGCAGCTTTCTTTTCGAACGCCTGAACACTTTGCTTGCTGGTGTGTTGCTTCTTGCACGACTCGGTATCTGGGCTGAGCCCCGAAATTTCGAGAGTAGTACGCCGGAACATGACATGCGATCCCTGATTGTCCAGCAAGATTCGGCTCCAATGATGGCGGACGCTTCATGCTTTCATGCACGATTACCCCGGCTTCGCCAACCATCAGTATGAGATCCGCAACTGCTAGGCTACAGGATGCATCATAAAGGTGATGTTTTGACCGGGTCCTTATGCTCCGACGGTGCATCTACCAGTCTATCAGTAGAGTACGCCCGAATTGATATGATCAGCTCACCCCTGAGCACTGGAGTGCCCCAACTTCTCGTTCTTTCAGGCCACTCGTTCAATTCTTCATTCTATTCTTCTGCACTCTGCGAGTGGCTGCCAGCTGGCCTGCGCCTTGAAAATACACATTCGTTTACAGTAACTGAAACACCGACCCAGTAATGGTGCATGGCAAAACTTTGTTGTTGATACTGAGGGCCTTCACCTTGGTACTAACACTTATAGCAGTCGCTCTGAGCGCTCGATGTAAGTTAATAAGGTTCGCATGGCCCTCTGTCAAACCTTCTCTGACAATTCTCTGTAGCTCAAAATGTTGTTCACAACTTCAAAATCAATGGACCTGCGGCTCTGGATGCACTCTCGGAGAATTCGCCTGACGGCGCAAAGCACTGGCGAGATTTCTTTACCGCCGTCCTTGATGGCGTGTCTCAGATAAGTGCATCGATCGCTACCGTAAGCAATCTCTACCTCTATTGAAGCGCTGTACTTACAGATCATGATACAGAGTACCATCGCTTCACTCGTACTTATCCTAGTCTTATGCACGACAACGTTGAGTCGTCTGACCATATCGAAAAGTGCTTTGGTGCCCATGGAAACACTTTCCATGTGTTTGATGGCTATAGCTTTTGGAACCTCGCTCAGCTTCTCCGCCAGCCTCAATGCCTTCAAAGAAGACCAACTTGCGGATATGGCGTCTTCAGACCTCGCGCAGTATACAACTCTGGTGCCTCTCAGCAAAGGCCTCGTAGTGTTGACTTGCTTTGGATGGCTCTTTACAATGGCAGCATGCCTCATTGCTACCGTCGATGCCTGCAAACGTGCACGCGTTAAAGAGAGGGATTCTTTCCGGCCGACTGCATCGGCATTAGGCATGAGTCCGAGATATCCCGACATCGTACCGCAGATGGTCAGAAGCCGCGTACCGACAATGTACGACCCGTGGAGGCCACTCCAAACCGAATCGAAAAAGACATCCCGAGAAGCTGATGAGGAAAGCTCGAAGCTTTTACGCAAAGACGAGGAAAGAGCTTACAGAGAATCGGCATTGACCGAGTATGGAAGATCATCAGTGGAGCTTGAGAGAGAGTTCATGGGCCTACTCAACGTGGATAAACCGGAGAAGGCATTGCAATTTCAGCCAAAGAGACCCTGGAGTGAATCTCCGATAGGGAGGAAACGGGACGATGACGTTGTGGATATGCACTCAATGTGACGGCCACCAAACCATCAAGTTGATGCGATGCGTCCATGTCTCCGCATACCTAACCTTATGTTGTTAGGTACCAGTGGTCGTTGGACACTTACGATCCAATAACGTAGCATAGTAACACCAAATACATAGTGTAATGATAACAATCCCTTTTTACGCAATCACACAATTTTTGGGTTTCACTTAGGAACACTTGCGGACAACAAGTAGCCTACAGCTCAATTAGGACCCTCCCTGTGCTTGATCATGTGATTTCGTATCTAGCGCGTTTCCTTAGCGCAACCACCACGCGTCAATTTCCAGCGCCAACTACAAGGGGTTCAATATCACATCGCATACAATATACTTCACACAGCAATATGGCGGGTTTTAAGCGTGGAGGTGCGCGTGGAGGGGGAGGAGGTAACTTCAAAAAGAGTTATGCAAATGCGAAGAAGCGATCGTCAACAGACGATCACGACAGCGCAACCCGTGCAAGTAAAAAGACGAAAGGCGACGAGGAAGAAGAAGAAAGTGGACAGGCAGTAGTGCCAGTACTTGAAAAAGATGAAGATGGTAATGATTACATTGCCGTAAGTGACTAATTTTCCCCATCCAAAGCTCTGACAGTGAAATTGATGGATACGCAGCTTAACGCAAGCGGCAAACGTCGTGCCACAGTCAGCGAATTCAAAGACAACACATTGATCAGCATAAGAGAGTACTGGACTAATGATAGTGGAGAATTGAAACCCGGGAAGAAGGTATGAGTTGCAAAGGATACCCATCACTCTGGAACACGCAAAGAGTTAACGGAGCAGGGCATCTCACTTACCATTGATCAATACCAAACGCTTCTAGCATCTGCTCCGCTCCTCGAAGCCGTACTATCCAAGAAGGGTATACAGCTTGCTCGGCCAGACTATGATGCGGACCCCAGTGCCAAAATGGAGGGGAACGATGTCAAGGATTCAATGATCAAAGTTGCCGATAGTGAAGAGGAAGAGCAGGGAGAAGAGTAACGATGGCTTTGCGCAAAAAATCTGCTCTGTATAAGTTATGGTACCTCTGAGGTTGTTTAGCACAAAATACGTGCAATCACACGCAGGCGCCTTGAGCTGTTATTTCGTACTCAGGTTGACTTCTGCACCCATACTGAAATGTACTTACCTAATACACATATTCTCAAGAGTTGTGTTCAAACCATAATACTCAATTGCCACATGAGCGAGCCTCCTTCTATGATTGCTCGTTTGCAACCTGATCACATTGCCAGGATATTGGCCAATCTGCTCGGACAGGTTGGAGAACGGTGTGGAACCGGGAAGCAACTTAGCGGATTCCTTGAGTGAAAGTGGCTTCTCACTGACAGGTTGGTGAACGATGTGGAGCCGGGAAGCAACTTAGCGGAGTCCTTGAGTCTATACTCGGTGTGTTTGCTGGTGTGAGTCGTTCATACTGGTATAATCGAGGAGCTCTACATCACTAGCGTGTTGTCATACATCTCACAGTTTGCAAAACTACATGTATTCACGCCAAGAGTTGCCATTGTTAAAAGATTCGCTATGTGAGAGCACCGAACTAACTTAACAATGTGAATGAGCGGTGACATTTCTTCCTGCACCGCCACTATATATTGGATATCCAACTCCATCACTCTCATCACTGCTCAAAACACACACTCAACTCTACTCATCCAAACCCCCCTCCCCTACTTCATACGAAGTTCACCACGACAATCCTACATTCGAACACACAACAGCCACACACCCACCATGTGTCACTCCTGTGACTCGAATTTTGTCAACGACGTCCACCAGAACCTTCAATCACTTCGACTCCACGATCGGATGAAAAAGACAGCTGAGTCGGCTCAGGCAAATCTCAAGGGAGTCTTGGTCGTGGAAGATGTCTACCGCAACTCTGGTGTGCGCTATCACCAAACCAACATGGCAACGCGTCAGCCCCTTCACTACGAAGCCGAACATCTCGAGCGCATGAAACAGGCCTTCGAATCAGACTACAACATCGTCTTCTCCCAGGTCAATGACCTACTTCCGAAGATGCGAGATATCCATCGGGAAATTATAGCTTGCCAAAAGTCCCGCGATTGTTTCACAAAACGCTCCGCTCGATTCTACGAAGAGATTCTGCCCGTATACAATGACCTCGCCGAGAAGTTCACAGATGAAGCCACCAAGATCCGTACCTGTTGCTTGCATGCCGAAGACCTGTCCGAAATCAACGACGAACTGTGGCAAGAGGCGGTAAATCGACGCGAGAATGTCCAGATGTGGTACGCAGAGCTATACGGAGCTCCTGATGCCATTCCCCAGGCGCCCGAGTGGAACATCTGGGTATCGTGGGTGGCTGGGCTTCCTGAGACGCAGCGAGCTATGGCCGGTCGTCCCTTGTTCAGCATCGCGAAGCAAATGATTCTGGCTCGTGTTGACGATTCTTACGGAGAAGCTGTCGATTCTTAGCGACGGTTAGGGTCTTGAAGAGAGTGTACTGCCTACTTGGGCCAAGGTCTGATTTTCAACAAATCGACTTTCGTATTGTAGACTCGTATCTTCATTTGATGGTGTAGTTATTTCGTGATGTAGAACATGGCTACTGTTGACTCGAAACAATGTTCTAGGATAAATATATTCACACAATGTTTCACATGCCCATCTTCCTCAGCGTGCTCATCCATCCTAACTCAAAAGCCGTTTAATCTTGCAGAAAATTGAAACTCATTAGAAGTGATCAGGTTCCTGGAGAGGTGATGATGGAAGTTAATGTTACCTACGACTGTGCTGCCAACATGAGTAATGACCAATCAGCTTTGATGCTTTCGATTACCATTGAAATTCGTGGCAAACACGGTCTGAACCTCGACACCGACGCCTTCACGAATACAAACTTCGCACTCAACCAACCAACGTTAAAGCAGCAAAACTTGCAAGTTTCCTTAAATCGATATGGGAAATTCTTGATTTATCTGGAATATGCAACATCATATACTATCTGTTACATAACTCTTGATTCATTCGACACTCGAGTGACTCGATTTGACGGCCTACCAAGAAGCACGCAAGATATTGCCGAGTCCATATCCACTGCCATCAACCGTATTCAATCCTCCTATTCTACTTTTTTGAGGGATTTGGAGAGATGGTTTCATTGGGAAACTTGCGGAAAATGTCTGCAATATGATCGATCGGTGCTGCGAGCATACCCATGGGGCCTTCGAACCAGGGATTTTCGCCTGCAGAAGGATGGCTCCTGGATGGCACAAAAGCTTTGGTTCTGCCAAAGTTCTTCGCCAGGCTCTCCGAAGACCCACGATTCTCGCTGGAGCTCAATGCCTTTTCAAGAGCGGGCAAGTCGTCACTCTCTTCCTCCTTGATATGCTGCGAGAGCACAGTCCAGAGTTCCTTGAGCTTTGGAATGTACTGAGTGTCCGTGGCACTCATGTTCTGAAACTCCTTGAGCAAGTTCTTGACCTAGATGTATAATAGTCAGTATTGCCCGGAGACCAAGACAATGGTATTGGCTTGCCTCATGATGCTGCTTGCGGTCATTCTCTGCATGCGCCTTGCCCTTCTCTCCCATGTACTTCTCCATAGCTGGATATATGAGCAGCTCTTCGGCCACTGAGTGGCGTGCGAGCTCCCACGTGAACTGGTTGCCATAGCGCGTGGCGTGGTCGATATCATCTGGGTTGTTGATGATTTCATTATAGTAAGTCTCGAGCTCACGATGGTCCTTTGTGATGGCGTCTGTTATGGTCGATTGTGCTGCAATCTGGCCGCGAATTGAGGCCGCCCTGGCGCTGATGCGAATTGTTTGCGGCCTATAGACAGCTCTGGCCAGAGGTGCTGCGAAGGCGCGTGGAGAGAACATGTCGAGTGGTGCGTGTGAAACTGGCTGGTGTATCTGATGTTTGGAAGAGGAAAACCACGGAGGAGTGATTTTCGGGGTGTTTTGGTGCTGCTGTTATTGCAGGTGAGCACTCGTTTACTATGGTCAACAACATACGTCACTCATGCGCAACAAGGCACGCCTCTTCTCCTCATCGAGCACCGCACAGTCCATGATGGCCTTTGTGCAACGGTGGACATACGACATATCATATCGTGTAAATAATTCGCACATGATGACCATTGCCAATTTGTTGATTGGTCCGGGTGATGCGGCCCATGGCCATCTTTGGCTGCCGTGGATTTGTTCCCCGGCGTCGCTAATCGGTTTCTCACAGGAACGCATGGAATAACGTCAATCTCGCATCACAACAATGATGGCAGTCTTGAAATGACATGGGCCCACAATACCCCACACTCAATCACTGAGCGAATAACAAAGCAATGATTTCATGCCTTGCGACTCTCCGCCATTTCACTGACAACACCAACTCGCCGACATAGTCTTCCAGAAACAGGAATTCCGGAACAGATAGCGCGAAAAGTGACCAGTCAGCGTGGGAAGTGACCACGTCAATTGGTGCATGCAGCTGGTTCATTTATTACTTGCCAAACTACACATACCGGAGACCTGGGCATGCTGTAAACATTCATTGGCACTTACCCCTCAGGCACACGCGTCAGATACACATCACTTTGACATTTTCGCGATGACGAGTCGCGTAGGCCCACCGTGATAGCGTATATTGGCCATATCTTTCGTGTCCTTAAACTCGCCTGAGATCCTCATGGAAATTCCTACCACATTACCTCAGAAAATCGAAGCAGCCATGGCTCCTTCATCCACTAACGCAAATACTAATCAGAATGATCCCATGCAGCACCCTCTGGAGGCCATATCCCAAGGTATCCAAGGTCTGACGGGCGAAAAACGGGCCCCACGACAAATGCATATGGGTAGTTCAAATGAAGGTCCCGCCGATATTATCGCCAAAGTGTCTGGCTCGGTACAAGGTGGCATTCGTGCGGATGATGCTCCTTACTTTACCAGTAATGAAGGCATTCCATACCCAGACCCGTAAGTCGCCTCATTCCTTGCAGTATCCCATGTAAATCTGACATTCTGGAAGAGCACACAGCAAGACAGTCGGCGGAATTCCTGTAGCCAGTGATGTTTTTCTGTTTCAGAAGCAACAAACTTTTAACCGCTCCAAGAATCTGGAGCGTATGGTGCACCCCTGCGGATCTGGTGCTTTTGGATACTTCGAAGTCACCAAAGATGTCAAGTCACTTACGAAAGCCAACTTCCTGTCAAGTGTTGGAGAGAAGACTCCAGTCTTTGTTCGTTTCTCAACCGTCACTGTTGGACGCGAGTACCCCGACGAGGCTCGTAATCCCCGAGGATTTGCCATCAAGTTCTACACAATGGAAGGCAACTACGACATTGTCGGTCTGAACTTTCCTGTATTCTTCTGTCGTGACCCGATTCAAGGCCCCGATGTCATTCGCTCGCAATCTCGCAACCCTATCAACTTTCTGCCAGACTATGATGCGCTCTTCGACTTGCTTGCAAACACTCCTGAGGGGAACCATGCTGGTCTCATGTTCTTCTCCAACCATGGTACGCCTGTTGGCTGGCGTTTCAATCATGGTTATGGCTGCCATACCTTCAAGTGGGTCAACGCTGAAGGCAAGTACGTCTACATCAAGTACCACTTCATTGCCAAGCATGGGCAGAAACAGTTCACCCAACGCGAGGCAACACAAATGTGTGGCGAAGACCCTGACTACTCCAAGCGTGATCTATGGGAAGCCATCGAGAATAAAGAGAAGATTGAGTGGACCGCCATGGTTCAAGTCATGGAGCCTGATGAAGCAGATCCCGAAAAGCTTGGCTTTGATCCCTTCGATGTCACCAAAGTCTGGCCAAGAAAGCTATTCCCCATGCAGGAATTTGGTACTCTCGTCCTAAACAAGAACCCAGAGAACTTCCACCGTGATGTCGAGCAAGCTGCTTTCTCTCCTGGTAGTTTGGTTCCCGGTATCGAGGACTCTCCCGACCCACTGCTACAGTTTCGCATGTTCTTCTACCGCGATGCTCAATACCACCGCATTGGTGTCAATCTACACCAGATCCCTGTCAACTGTCCTTTTATGTCGAAATCTTTCTCTCCCTTGCAGTTCGACGGACAGATGCGTGTAGATGCCAACCACGCCTTCAACAAGCAATATGCACCCAATAGCTTTGCCCACAAGTTCCGCCCGGATGTCGCAGAGGCACCGTACCAAGTCAGTGACAACATCATGAGCAGGAAGAGCCACTACTGGCATGAGGCGAAGCGCAATGAATACGACCAGCCCAAGGAGCTGTGGACGAGGGTCATGACACAGGAGCAGAGAGATCACACCATTCTCAACACCTTCAACATGTTGAAGTTTGTCAAGTACCCAGACATCGTGGTAATTACTTTTGCCTTGTGAACACATGGCCAACGCTAATCTCGATGATAGAAGAAGTATCTGGCGCAACAGTACAACATCGGCCCAGACTATGCCCAGGGCATCTACGATCTACTGGCAAAGTCTGATTCGAAACCCGAATTCCCCTTCTCAGAAGTCGTGGACTTGTCCAAGAGCGCACACGTGTGGTTCAAAGAGGAGAAGTTCAGACCTTTGAATGGCGAGAAGCTGATTGGTAAAGTGCCGACCATTCCAGTCTATAACTAGTTGTTGCCTCTGTATGTACTGATGAGTTTTAATTACGTGATTGGAAGAGGAAACAATGGGGTTATGCAGTTTCACCTTGTGTCATAAGGTTCATCCACTGTCTTCATGTAGTTGAGTGTCGCTAGATAATATGTAATCTCATGACCGGAACATTGTGAACTGCTTAACTCAAGTGTTGCAGTGATCCATCTAAGGCAGTCGATGCGACTGTCATTTGTTGCTTGCTCTGCGCAGATATTATCTTCAACCGAAAAGCACCTGCAAATGTATCGTTCAGTACTCGAGAGGACATAATTCGCCGTACTGAGAAGGCGAAATACATGCCTATGAAGAGGACGTCACGAGGCATCTTGACCACCGAAGTTGAGGTTTGAACCAGTGCATAGTCAGGATGAGACAGTGGCGAAGATAAGCACGATGGGATCGGCAATGCAGCAAGAAGCAAGATTAAAAAGATAATCTCTTAACCCTAAAAGCTACGGTTATCCTGAAACGGAATCAATCTGTTGATCGTCAACCAAATCCACCAACGCCAGCCGTTCCTAAGAAACCCATGTTTCCCGTGATATAATCCCCAGACCAATAGCTTACGCAGCTTGCTTCTGTCCAGTGACCGGGCAAACCGCACCAGCCGGTGCACTATCAACGCTAGGATGCGTATTCACCTTGCCCTGGTGGTGTCCCACCGTCGCCTTGGTAACTGGGCACACATCCCCTGCGCTCGCCTTCAACATATCAGGGTGGTCGGGTGGAAGCACCGTGGTTGCTGTCCCCACAACGGGACAAAGAGCGTCGTCCATTTCCTTGGCCTTGGGCTCATTGACGGCCGACTTGAGAGCCGGGCAGGATGTTGCGGTGGTGCTGTTTGTGGGCACGGGAGGATGCGAGTGCAGGTTGTGGTGGTGGTCTGTTGATGCTCCTACGACTGGGCACTGTGGAAGGTGTCAGCAGTGGACAAAGCGTATCAACCAAATGAGGGGGACACTTACAACTTGGCCATCTTTGGAGAGGTCTATTGAGGGGTGGTTTGGGGGGAGGACATCATTTGTGGTTCCAATAACTGGGCAAGACATGTTGATTGCTTTCTCGAGTTGTTTTCTGGGGGTTAAGCAATGGTGTTTACTTGTTGCTGAAGATTCTACGAAAGCTTCAAGACGATAAGAGGGGAAGTACTAGGCGACGAGCGGACAACTGGATCCGGCGCGCAAGCGCGCAGTACATTTGCTTGTTGAGATGCCCGTTTCGAGCTACCCCAGATTTACCGGGGATCGTTGTTTCGACGTCATTGTCAGCGATATCAACTTGTCGCTGATTGGCTGACGTGTGGGGCCTCGATAGAGCTTGTTTATTGATAATGTCGTTGGAGAGCAAACCACCAAAACCTAAGCGCAACATTACGCGTCTTTTTCAATTGTATGGTTGGGTGCTCTGTCTACTTACTTGATTTGGCTGGCGAAGAAAATACCGTCTGGAAGATGTGCACTTCGTTGGCATGCATGAAAACCCTAAGGAGACCCGTCAATGTCACAATATACCTGAACCTAGTTACTCATCATCCAGTCTGGTCAAGTTTCTCACAGTCGCACAGGATAACTTACATGGGAGAGACACAGATCGCATGTTGGGAGACATTTGGTTGTTTCTTCAAGACGTTGTATTAACCCAGATTCCGTCGACATTGTTGTCCTTCGCCAATTGCGCCCACGTCGCCAAATACACATTTCCGTCCTTCTCAACTAATCAATACACATGCCACACTGCACCTTGGTATCTCTCGCCATCTCGATCCACTCATCCTTTTCATAATCAAAACATCATCTCAATCGCTTCCTTAGAACATCGTGTTGTACAAAGCGCGTTTGCGATGCGCCATCAGGTCAAGCTTGCTCTGGTACAGACCATCTGTCAGTACAATGAAGCAGCGGCTCCAACCTTCCTACTGACCGCAACGTCTTTCAGCGGCCTTCAATCGCTTCTCAAGCCTTGCCTCGCTGCGAATCTTGCACCAATGGCATTTGCCCGGCAGTCTCGATGGCAGCCACGACACCTCGGGCTTGCCAGACTTGATGTTTTCGCATGCATCTTCAGGATCGTAGGCAAAGCTCTGTCTGCAGCGGATAATGGGTTCGTCCCATGCCACATGTGGGCAGTCGGTGAAGCCGCCTATGGGGAGCTGGCACATCGTGTAGGATCGGAGCGCAATTGTCTGTGGAACTTGTGAGTAATTGTGAGCAGTTTGTGAAGCAGTGCTGCAAAGCTGTGTGGGATTCGAACGTGTAGAAAAGAGTGTGTGTGGCCAGGAAAAGGAGTGGATCGTCTTGTATAGAGGCGAAAATTCGTTGTTGTAAGTGAATAAGGATAGGCTACATACTATGGGCTCACATTGTCAAGGTGAGTGCGGAAAATTTTGCCCTTCACTTCACTGCTCATCTCCCAATAATAACTGTGTGGTTCATCCCACAGCCATCCACGAAACACGCGCTCACAGTGTGGATATACCGAATTTCACCCCTTTCCACTCTAAATAAATGGCTGTCTGGCGTCCCCTCGTCCTTTCGCGTGCGATCGAGGCCAGTGAAGCCCAAGAAGATGTCCACCACGCCCATCACCTCATCGACCACATATCGCCGATTGACCATGGGAACATGCTCAGGTAATCCACCGAGATTGCAGGTCTGCGCAGACAAATTGCCACGGCCAGTATACGCACCGCCTTCGAGTCGCGCGCATGGCGTGCCAAAGGGGACGTGGACCGAGACATCATTGCAGCGATCTGCATATGCGTCGCCTGCTGCCTGGATGGTCGCACGAGATGATCGCTGTGACTCTGGGATGGGGTCCCAATTCTCCAGGCTGTTCCAGTACTTATAGCCTGTTGCGTTGAAGGCCCAGTCACCTTGGTCTGTGATCAGACTGTCGATGAGATTGACGTTGCCTTCGTCATCGAGGGACATTTGCGTATGGATGACGTAGGGATGTTTAAGGTCAGTGACGATGAGCTCAGTGAATGTTTTGCACTGTGTAGTATCGAGGATTGAGCGGTTGGCGTCGAGGGTTAGACCGTACGCTGAAGGGCCATGAAGGAGGGAGGCTGTCTGGTTATTCTCGAGGTAGACTACGAGTTGGGGTCAGTCCTCATAGTTCGCTGACGATCTTCTGTAACTCACCCATGTCGTAGGCTAGATTTTCGAAACGGTCGTGTTGGCCTGTGGCTATCAAGTCCACGTAGGCAGCAGCAGTATCAGCAAGGTAGCTGCGAGTGCAGTTGAAGGCCATTGCAGATGCAGCCATACTGGCCAGAGCCATGACTTGGTACTTCATTTTGAGGTTGATGCTCCCCGGCAAAGCGACTCGAGTTTGAGAGGATTGTGAAAGTTCTCAGGAATCGCCCCCGAGTTGTCAAAGGGAACGCGTTCGAAGATAAAGGCGTGCAGCTGGGCATTCCTGTTTCCAAAGGGCCGTTGGTATTTCCTACCGAGCAGACGCATCAATAGTATATTCTCATTAGCCAGAATTCACTCGATATTGGTGGGGCATGCCGGCAATGCCCATGTCATTACCATACTCAGGACGACCCCACACAGTTTCTACAATATAAGTAACACTCCAGAGTGTCCTATTCCAACATGTGCAAGAACAGATGAACTTTTGTGTGCATTCGAGGTGATCTGCATGGTTCTCGAAGCCGAGAGATCCAACCAGGCGAACTCGCTAGCAAGAACACGTGACAGGGCTTCGTCGTCTTTCAGGTTGCATGATCACAATTCCTCCTTCGCCCAATCGAAGTATTCATGACAGCGTCTCATTTTGCATGCTGTCCAAGACACTCCACATACTCTCCTGCAATGCTCCTCGTCCCATGGCTCCCACAGTGTGTGCATTGAGGCTGCCTGCTGGAAGTATCAGAATCCAATCCTTTCAATATGCAGGGATAGCGTCCTCACAATTTCCTGTGGAGATGGCACCTGTGACCGAACTACGTCCATTTCATCAGGGTTGGCCGAGGACAGGGATGACTCGTGCTCCGTTAATGTTGATGATGGGAAACAACGGTGATAGATTGTGCGAGCAAGTAACACCACCAACATCAGCACCGCAATCCGAATTGCGATACGGGTCGGCTTTGGCATGGTTTTGAACTGCGCTACTCTGTACCGGTATGTCTTGGTACCTAGACGACGGCGTGGTGTTGGTGGACAAACTCGGCTGCTTGCTTCCACCGTCGACGTTACCTTAGCGGAACGCTACCTTAGGTACCGGTACTGTTACCTGACCTTCAAGCACAACCTGTCGTAAACCGACGCCTTACCCGTCAACGGCGCTTCAACCTCCAAATAACTGATTGGATGTGTGCCAGTCCCGATATCAATCTTCTGGCTCTGCATTTGTTGAGGGCAAGGGTTGGGCTGTGCTACAGTAGCGAGAAACGAGCCAGGCTCCAAGCTGTCGGGCAAACTGAGACTCCGAAGCTCCGGATCCACCCATCCACCCCCACATCCTTTCACCCCCGGCCCCTCATGTGGTTCTATCTCGAATCTTCCTTGGTTTTCACTCACAGCCACGCCGTATTATTTATGTCACATCACTGGTATTTATGACGTCGTCGTCATGTTTCGTCATTTATCTTCTGTAACATATATGACAGGCACGCGTGCCGTGCTAAACCTCGTAAGGAGGGCTCATCTCGAAACATTTCACGTGATACAAGTGGATCAGCTTCTGTGATGGATGTGAATACCTACCTCTTAGTAAGCAGTGTCTTGGAACTCCACCAACAGCTCATGGCTCTTGGCTTAGTTTGTTATTTATACCAGCAGACTAAAAATGGGCCGCTGTCGTCAATTGTTATCATTTGGTATTATACATGACGCCAAGACGACATAGCTGGAACTCACACACCGCTGGAGAAATCTCGCGTGAGGCCCATGCCTTTCCCTTCTCTTAGGTTCTAGCCCCTAGATTGAATCTTTGACACTTGACACGTGCAACCAAGTGTATCCACTGCAACGGATCCTGTCATAAGTCTTCACGCGACTTCAAATTCAACAGCAACCATACCCACGGATCCGTCACCCCATCGTCACCATGAGGCTTCTTGACCTGCCACTGGAAATTATCGATCTGATCATCGACCGCAGTACGCCAGAGGGACTGGAAAGCTTTGCTCTCTCGTGCACTTCAGTCTACCAACGAGCAAGACCACGACTTCAGCATCACAATGCGTCCAAAAGGAGATGGGGCTCCACCACCAATGCAAGTCGTGCCCGACGTGGAGACACACTGGCACTTCTACACGAAATTGCTCGTGAACCAAGGATAGCGCGATACATTGAATCTTTGAGTCTGTGGGATCGACGAGCAGAGGAAGATGTAGCTGACGCCGATGCCACACCAAGTTTTCGCGATAGTGTGGAAGCAATGAACAGCATCAAAGACTTGCTACACCACGCAGAATATTTTGCCAATGCCGATCTGGAACAATGGTGGACACAAATACTCCTGGAGGATCAACGTCCAGAGACAGACGGCATAGATAAGCTTTGTGCAACTATCGCCTTGTTGAGTCTTTTACCTAATCTCAGGCAGCTACAACTACCCGACAGATGGCATGAAGTTCGGGAATCAGAAGCAGCAGAAGAACTCGTGCCAGCCGTTGAATCACTCGTCGCCATGGCAAACACCAAAGGGCCCAATCCGCGAGCACTGGGCTCACTTGAGACCATTCTCCCTTTTGTGGAAGAAGGCTATGATGTTAGAGTCGGTTTACAATGTCTGCAGCCTAATATGGTCCTCAACAGTATACGTAACCTGTACGCTGTCAGCTGTGTCGCCGTCCAAGATGACTGGGCCGGCATACCCTTCAACTGGCCCAACCCAAGCCTGAAGTCACCATTGACAAGGATCGAATTTGCATGCTGTTGCATGGACGCTAGTGCTCTTTCCGTCTTACTCGCCAACACACCATCGCTCACCGTTTTCAAATACTCTCACCAGTCAAAGTGGGACGGTCTTGAGTTCGACTGGAATCCAGGCGCATTCTTGGAGGTCATTGCCAATCACACTGGCGACCGCCTACTCGAGCTTGCGCTGACTATCGACGAGCTGCACGGAGAAATCGTCAACGGCCTTTCATCCTTCATGCGATTCCCAAAGCTTGAAGTACTGGAAGTTGATGTCGAAACTTTCTGCGGACCGCCAGTTGAGAGTGGACAGCGACGGGGTAGAGACGGCTTTGTCCCAGAGGGTGCGGCTCCTTGGACCTACATGGACATACCATGCATGGGCGACATGCTACCAGAGAGCATTCGTGAACTACACGTAAACACCAACTTCCCAAGACCATCCGTGCAAGCTCTTCTATCACTATTCAAGAACATCAAAGATCGTCGGCTAGATAAGCTCACAAATCTAAAGGTCACAGTGATCCGGCAGTACCGAGCAAACACAGCCCAGGAGATTGCGACAAGCTACGGCGTGACACTAGAGGCATTCGACAAGGATGTTGAGAATCCAAGGCCAAGGTCAATGATGCCGTTGTGGAAGAGAAGATTCGACGATACGGTGGGTGGGATAGTCATGTCTGAAGAGTAGGGACAGTCTAGCTTGACGCATCACTCATGTCTAGAGGGCAAATGCAAAGACATGCTTGCCGATCACTGTATGTACGGCACACTGGCTCAAGACTCCCTGGCCCAGTAGAACCTCTTGGCACAGCTGCGCCAGAACTAACAGACCTTCATCTTTAAGAGGAGTTGGCGGGCCAATTTCGAAGCCTTGCCTTGCAAACGGCAGAACTTGGAATACTTCACACCAAAAGAAGCGGCCGACGCTTCCCAGCTGATTGCGCTTACTATTGATGGGTTTTTACCAGAGAAATCGTTGATAGACCAAGGAAAGGGAAAATTGGGCTAGTCAGTACGTCGTATAGAGTATTACTGCGTTCCACAGAAAAAAAAGAAAAGGGGAATGGATATACATGGAGAAAGGAAAAGCATATCAGGATTTCGTGTCGACTGCGAGTACACAAGATATTACAGACCATCAATCTAATGTGTAATTTCTTTCAAGTATACAATACCCATCTCAACTAAGAATCAATAAAACTCCGCTCTTACATCTTTGCTTTCTCCCTCTCTAATACCCTCTTCACCGGTTCCATCAGCCTTTGGATCCTCCCCTCATCCATTTTCTCCTTCCCCGTAACTATACCCTCTGGGATTTTCACATTCCACTCTGGAATCACTGTTGTTCTTGCCAAAGTGACCGCCACCACACTACCACACGAATACTCCTTCTTCTGCAACAACTCCAACAGATGCGTTGCGCACGTGTCCGGCGTCAAGCAATCCTCCGGCCCAATAGAATACTGTTTCGACTTTGCATCGTCAAAGAGCGGCGTCCACACGCCACTTGGACAAAGCGCCGTTACTTTTACACCGGTGAGGGCTTCGCTGTCCTTGAGGGATTTTACAAATCCGACAATGGCGTGTTTGGTTGCGGAGTAGAGGGGTGTGGTTAGGAGTCCCATGATTCCTGCGACCGAAGCCTGGGTTGCCATGGAGAATGGTAATCAGTATTTTCCGCAGACTCTTTGTAATGGTGTAGAGAACGCGACGTAGGTAACATGAAGTACTGTGCTTACAATAATGCAAACGCTTGCCCTTTTGCCTCGCCCCAGACTCTTCCGTATCGCCAGCCGTGTCAATTTAACCGGATGATTCACATTCACATCCACCATCATGTATCCAGCCTCCTCCTCGCGATCGTCCCAGAAATTGGAGGACGGAGGGGCGAAGACACCAGCGCAGATGGCATAGGCGTCTGGGACATCGTTCCATTTTTGCTCGCAGGCGTGGAATAGGGTGGCCAAGGATGGCCAATTTGTCACGTCGGATTGGACGTAGAGGATGTTGGGCTTGTTGGCTCTGAAGGCGTCGAAGTCTGGTGTTGTCTTGAGGTCGGCGACGAGGATGTTGCAGCCGAGGCTGTGCGCTTGCTTTGTTACTGCGAGTCCGATTCCTGATGGTTGTTTAGCTAGGAGGAAATGTGAGATGCTGATGGGGTTGTAGCACCAGATGCGCCTCCTGTGATCAGTATGATCTTGCCTTGAAGTGGTTGATCCATTGACATGATGATTCACGAAGAGTCGTCACCGAGATGTAGAATAACGGTATGTGTGCCATGAATTTATTGGGAAATTTTTACCTATGCTTGGAACACTGGCGAAACAATACAATCAAGTTTCTCGCGTTGCGGCAGTATGCATCATCTGATAGCCAACTATCGTGTCGGCTGTCGTGTGAGGGCCGCGTTACGCCACACTGGACCGCTATTCGATGGAAGTGCTTACTGAGATTGTAGATTATAGCCGCCTTGAGATTGTATTAGTGCGCTTGCAGCTCCTGAAATTTCTAGGTCTCATATCAACTGCCTACCTGGCGCGCAGCGGTAACATTCTCTGAACAATAATTGGGTCATATCAGCGAGTGAATATATGTTGTTGATACGCGCATGGTTCGATTAAGCGCACAGTACCGGTAAATGTCGATCTATATGCTATTATCATACTACAGCACATACTGTCCTACAAGGCGATACGGTGGCTTGCAAGCGCTCTGTCTATCGCGTGTTCATCTCACGGTAGCATTGGTTCGTTGGGTTGAGGGGCTGGGTTGTTTCCGATGGTGCCTAAAAAGGACAGTGCAGAGATGGTATTAGAGGATAAGTCAAAAAGAAGAAATGTGTTTGTTCTGTTACCGGTAACCTTCGCATCGCTGTCGCTATGTAATGCAAGTACAAGTTGTTCATCGATATGCACCTTCCGCTCCAACCCTGCGACCCAACCACAATGCCATCCATGTATACACTCCATCCCTACAAATGACCATGAGGATCCTCGACAATTTTCCCGTCTTCGATAATGCTTAGCTCGATTCCAGCTGTAACGCGCATAGTCGACACATCAAACAAGTACTCTTCGTCCTTCTTGACAACTTCGTGGTAAAACGGATCGCTGTATGCATTCTCAAAGTCCCGGTAGTCTTTGACCCAGAACTCTGCGACGCCGTCGAAAGAGAGCGTAGGCAGAGACAGGAGGCCGCGGGCTTCGGATGTGGTGTGGTACTACGGTCGCATTAGTAAGAGTTTGGTTCTTGTGGCATTCATGGTTGATGTATGTTTGCGACAGAGCATGTGCATACCTGAACATATTTCACAATGCCGTTTTTCTGCAGCCACTCTGCCACGAGCGGACCATGCTTGGTCGCCCAATGCTCATTGAACTCTGACTCTGACAGTTTAGGATTGTGTTGCGCAAACACCGTGATGCGAATGAGGGGTGGTTGTCCTTCTGCCGCCATTTTGTGTGAGCCTCTCTCCCTTCCTGTCAAAGACGAAGGACAAAGCAGACAAAAGACAGAGGAACAATGCACAAAAGATAGGCAATTTCGAGGTACACCACGTGACAGTTGTATGAAAGTAGGCAAAGCAACTCGTATTTACTTAATCTAGTCAAGACGGGCTGCGGCTCGGGACAGAGGAAGCCATGGCGCTTTTGACTTGTTGAAATGCAATTCTCGAACCATGCCACGTTCTCGCCCACAAGCCGCTATCCAAGCCGAAGCGGAGCTTCAACTCCAAATATGAAATCACAGTTAGTCACGGTATGCCATTGGTCGTACCTGCGCGCGGAGGTCGGCTAGAGATGCGAAGATGGTGCGATGGAGTTGGAGTTAACTGGGGCGTCCTTGTACGGTAACACTAGTACGCCAGGAGAGTTTGAGGCGCAACCCCGAACCATGTTGACGCACATTGTAAGATGAGTACTGTCTCTAGGCATTGTATTATTGAATTGTTCGTCATGGCCACGTGGGAGTTCAAAAAATGTGCTAAAGAACACAGCTATAGGGCCTGGAGAAAGAGAGATGGAAAGAGGTTGCAAGGCGATGTGGCTTTTCTAAATAGGTTTGGCGAGGAAGTAGACTCATCCCGCTTCTACTAGCATCGTCGGTATCATCTCCTCAGTGATCGTCAAGAGTGGACAAGGAAAGTGACTCGGGGATTAACAAGGGAACAATTATCCTTGGCTTGCTTGAACGGGACGTTGGACGCCTCGCAACGTTTTCTGCTTACTCACGTAGGGTTTGCCTGCATAGAGTAGGTAAACAAATCTTATAAATATTACATTAGTCTATTCAATTATCAAATGTATCACGCGCCTAAGAACGAACACTGCGTTGTCTACAAAAACAGTATTCACGTTCTACAGTATTTGTCATAGTTGCTGTTGTTTAATCTTGCTAATAAACAAATATACCACAGTGGCATTCAAAGTTCGCCGAATAAACCGTTGTCTTCACTAGCACATGTCCCCATTAGACAGCTCCATAGGAAGAGAAGTGAAGAGAAAAATAGCTTACTCTAGGAAGTCAAGCAGACACAATATATTGATTTATACAACATATAAGTATTAAATCATCACCGTAAATCATCACCGCCTAGAAAAAAGTACCCTCGTCTACATGTACGTTCATCATGTTGACCTCAACAAAAGGACCGCACGGCTTCTCTAAAAAAAAGCAAAAAGAAAAATTTGTACTAGCGCAGGAACGAACCAGGATCGAACTGATGACTTCAGGATTATAGCAGTGCTGCAATCCTACACTCTACCACTGAGTTACCGTTCCTCTCGATGGTAACATTCTCTAACTTTTGATATATAATCTTCAAAAAAAAATTGCAATCCTCCATCAGACAAGCAACGCGATGGATGCGTATTTCTCTTTCACAAAAGTCAGCTGAGAGGGACAAGACCTCACAATGCCAGGTGGCAACACGTGAAGATGATTGGTGGGGCGTCTATCCGATGTCGGTCCTTTGAACTTTAAATCTCCATGGTTCGCTATGTCGAGTAGAGCGCGCGGGCATATTATTGCACCCTGTAGTACGTTTGCACTGAAATTGTTGTTGGAGAGAGTTGTGATTGTTGGTGATGAGAGTATTTCGTACGAGCATCTATGATGCTACTGTGGTTGTGAAGACTGGTGTGTAGTATGTACGCTGCACCCCTGTATTCTAGAAAAGTACGGCTGGTTGCAGAATGCCATGGGGTGCTGCATGCAGTACAAGACGTAAAAAATCATTCTCAGGGATACTTGTCATGGTTGATTATGGAGTTTTCAAGGTTCGCGATCGGGGTTTGTGGTGTTGAGATACATAGGATGCACTTGTACCCTGAGATATGGCGCATAGAAAACATAATAACAATCGCATTAGAAGTTATACATGTGCCATAGCATAGCTTTGGTTAGGGTTGAAAGTAAGTCGCACCACTACATCGTCCCTGGCAAGAAGTTGGGACTGTCATCATTATACGGCATGGTGTATACACGGACAAGGTGATCGACATGTGAGGCAGTGATACCTTGTAGCAAACTTGCGCTCAAAATACGTGTATACATGTATACATGTATACTTTGTACCCAAGTAACTTTTCATCGACAACAATCTACTGCGCCACGGGGGTCTTGAACACCAACGCGACATGGTCATCACCAGCTGTAACAACCGCCTCGCCATTTCCTTGTACAAAGCCCATGATACCTCCACCATCGCCACCTCCCCTGTGTCCTTTCCACTCTCCGACCAGACCTTTGCCTGCCGCCGCCGTGCCACCCCGTGTATCCCATCGCTTCAACACACCGTCATATCCTGCGCTTGTTAACAGCCATCCTCCTGGGCCTTCCTTCTTGACAAACTCCAACTTGACGACTGCTTGTGGCGAGTCCTCATCGGCGTGGGCGTCTTCTATTCTCCGACGCACGGCGAAGCGATGCGCCGTGTCGAAGAGAGTGATGGAACCGTCGACGTTGCCGGCAGCCATGAGGGTGAGTGGTGCAGACGAGAAGCTCATGCATTCGACGTTGTCGCTTCCCGCTTGCAAACTTGCCAGAATCTGGCCAGTCTGTCCTGCTGATGCCGCAGCGCCCTTTGCGCCCGCCTGTTTTCCACCACCAGCTTTGTTCTTTGCGCCGCCTCCACCAGATGACATCGACGCCTGTGGTGCGGCAAGAGAGAGGCGAGGGAGACCGACGATACGTATCTGACCTTCTGGGCCACCTACTGCGACAAATGCGCCTGATGGAGGAATGCCAACAGAGTACAACCCCCCTTCGACGCGGAAGCGCTCATCAACGCCTGTCAGACCGACGACAGTTTGCGCGTCCGTTGTTGCCGTGAGACCCTGTGCTGCTGCCTCGCCAAACACATCCCACACGTATAGACTCGAGTCTTCGGATACGGTCGCAAGGAGGGAGCCATCGGGCAACCATGCGCCAGCTGTGCAGGTTTCGGTGTGAAGGTAGTACGCTTGCAGGACCTGGAGCTCGCTGCCTTTTTCTGTGCTGATCTGGTAGACCCAGACTGAGCCATCATTTGCGCCAAGAGCGACAACATTGGGATGCTCTGGCGAAGGATTGGCGATCAGCCAGTTGATCTCCTCCACCTCAGCCGCCTCAGCCAAGTATTTCCACTTCGTGCCCTCAGGCACACCTTGCCAGACGCGCAGCTTGCCGTCCAAACCAGCAGTGGCAACAAATTGTCCCTTGGGTTGTGTGAAAGTAATTGCGTTGATTGAATCTTTATGGCCGTCCAATGTGAAAAGACTCTTCAGCCCCTCGCGCTCCGTAGGTTGACCGTCACTACTCGGTTGTGCCGCAGCCGCCAATGAAACGTCAAAGATGTATCCAGTATCGTCGCCTCCACCAGTCGCTATGATCTCTTGGTGTACAGGGTGTTGGGCTATGCAAAAAATGCTGTCATTGTGTTGGTCAAAATGCGCAACCGAATCGTTCTGGAGATTGATCGTCATCTCTACGCCGTCGTCGCCTTCGTCATCCGAGTCCATGGGCACATCACCATCGTCTTCTACAATCTCCTCCGCCTCTTCTGCGTCGAGCGTGTTGTCTACATCATGAATGTCAATGTCCTCCTCGTCTTGAAGGTTTGGGTTTGAGTTTGGGGCCGCCATTGTGATTTTGCGACGTATAACTTGTAGATCGGTGTGCGAAGGATAATCTTTTCTTTCAAGGTGCTCTCCTCTGTGGCGCCCAAAAGAGGATATATAATTCTTGTAGGGGGCGTTGCTTAGAAATAGCAAATTGCGCCTTCCACCAAGAACTTTTTCTTGCCGAAGGCGTGTGTCGGTGGTCGAGGGACACAGCACCGACCCCACACACGTCATTGGTAAGCTTTCGAATGTCTCAGGGCAAATGCATGTTGGAGCCCTCAACATGACCAAATCCGTTTTTTTTTTCTCTTATTGGATAACAATTGCAATAGAACAATGGCTATCGAGTATTTTGATTTATCACGAGCGTAATTCTCGTTCTGCGTCAAAATAACAAACGCGCCTAGTTACCCAGGCTTGTACTGCGATTTCCCCTAATCTTCTGAACTTGCTTCACTATCATATCCTAGGTTAATAATATGGATTCACCGTCTTCATGTACAAAAGTTCCTATGTCTCTTCTAGAGTTTGAACCATTTTTGCTACAATACGCACCATACGCTCATCAAATTTCGTCGCCTGTCTGCGTACAGCCACGAGGTCTCTCAAGGCATGGCCGAGCTCTTGCCTATCCACTTCGTCGAGACCTCCACTTTTCTGCCCATATAATGGTTCTGAAGTGTCAAAGGTAGATTTGTGGGGGTCTCCAGTTGCTTCTACATCTGCATCGACAATCAAGGTAAGGTTCCCGGGAACAGGACCTTGACTGACATGGCTATTCTGCGATGTTTCTGCATGTCGTCGTTCATGGGTATAACCTGTAGTCGGATAGGTGTTGCGTAAGTCTTGGAGCATTTCTCTCTCACTCAGATAGTTCTGATCTGCAACGACAAGATTGGAAAGGCCGAAGATGCTGTAGCACACGCACAGTCCGATGATATAAGTAATGAATATAGCGCGGCTGTCGTGAGCGCCAGCAACTTCATCGAGGTTGCGCATCCAGACTTGTCCCAAGTAGACACCAAGACCAATGAGGAACGAGTTTAGAGAAGCGGAAAGCAGCATATTGGGGGCTGAGACAGTCAGGACTGATGCCGGCGATGGCAGAACATCCCGATCAATGTTTCTCTGAGATGTTTCCGATCGCGGAGGATCGCTGTGCTTTCTGCCTCTGATCCATGCTCGTACTTGTTCAGGTTGTAGACAGCGCCCCAATTTCCGGTACTGGTTTGTCGCGTAGTACACTGCCATGATAGCTGACAGTAGGCTGAATGTAAAGGCACCCCTGGCAACCCAATGCGTCCGGCTGAGATCCTCCAAAGACAATGCTGTTATCGCAATCTGGGCTAGGATTGTGGCCTGAGGCATGTTCAATCGCGAGGGTTCACTTGATAGACACATGAACTTACTGCTACAGCTATAATGTTGCTATCTGCTTGTACAGATGTCTTGAAATCCATAACATGTCGCTCTTCCGGGCTGCAAAGAATTTGTGCTTGAAGTTGCCACATGCCGCGACTTCCAAAGAGGTAAAGAATTAATCCGGGTGGCCCATAGTACTTGGCGAAGAAGATCAGACTTTTTGCAATGCCACCGACTGTCTTGATAATAAATACTGCGACATCTGCGACATCTGCGACATCGCTGATAACAGGTCCTATGATTTCTGCGAATTTGCTGGTAATAGATACTGCGGCATCGATCAGGAGTATGGCCATGATCAAGGTTGAGGTGAATCGATATGATTAGAATCTCTATCTGAGAAAAATCGTGATTGTGTTATACATTTGAAGGCTAAATCCAGTGATATCCAGTGGATGTAAGATTATGAGCTCAGCCTAGGACCGGGACTTAATCTGGGCATGCATGTAGGGGCCCGTGGTACCTAAACGTAGCGAATTGACCGCTTTGAGTTATGTATTTGGCTTTTTGGATGGTGCTTATTACCGGTTAGATGAGCGGCTTACTTAAGGACTTTATTTGATCTGTGCATAGCCCCAATGTACGACTTTCCAGAACTAGCTTTCGTTACTGCGCCAGATGCCATCCTCGGCGTTCTTAGGTTCTGACCGGTCTATGTGTGCTGCAACTAATCTTATGTACAAGACCGTGCTCTGACTACGAATTGAATATCAACGCTCTGACAACAAAGTACCCTGATATTTATACACACCAACACTACAGCTTGCTACCGGCCTTTCTCCTCTTCTCCTTCTCTTTATCTCTCAGCAGCCGTCTCAAAATCTTACCCGAGGGTGACTTGGGAATTTCGTCAATGAACTCGACGCCACCAGAGATCCACTTGTATCTTGCCTTGTGTTTTTCAACATATTTCTGGATACTACGCGCAAGAAGACGATCGCTTTCCTCCAGCCCCACACCGGGTGCCTTGACAACGAAGGCTTTGGGTACTTCGCCGGTTTTCTCGTTAGGAATTTGGATCACGGCGCAGTCGTTCACGGCTGGGTGGGTGAGAAGGTGTGCTTCGAGTTCAGCGGGGGCAACTTGGTGTCCCTATGTTTTGTAAGTGTAATTTAGTATCAAAGATGATGAATTCGACGAACCTGGACCTTGATCAACTCTTTTATCCTATCGGTTATGAAGATGTGCTCATTGCCAGCTGGCGATTTTCTGACGACGGCTTCATCACCAGTGTGCATGTACCCATCTATAAACGTTTCTGCGTTCGCTTTGTCATTGTTAAGGTAACCGAGTACAACGGCAGGGCCCTTGACGCATAACTCGCCAGGCTCATCGTAACCAGTGATCTCTTTGCCCTCCGGGGTGATGAGCTTGACTTGGAGACCTGGAAGCAGCGAACCAGAAGATCCAAACCAGATGTCATCAGGCGAGGTTGAGCATACGACGGTGCATGTCTCGGTGAGTCCGTAGCCTTGTCGAATTTTCCAAGATGGGAAGATCTTCTGCATGTCTTCGGCTGTCTCTTGACCTAGAGGTGCTGCGCCGGTGAAGAGCGACCACACGGAGCTGAGATCGTACTTTTCGAGCATGGACTTATTCTTTGTCATCAAGATAATGATTGGCGGGACTAAAAACAATGTGGTGATCTTGTAGTCTTGAATAGCTTGTAGCGTGCTTGCAAACTCGAACTTGGGTAGAACAATTACACCGTCACCGCGGTAGACGCTGGCGTGGCAGATCACGACAAGACCATAGATGTGGGACATGGGTAAGAGACCAAGAACATTTTCAGTGTAGTCGGACTGGTTGCGCGGGTCTTTGATAATGCCATCTCTGTATGGCTTCTCGAAGGCCTTGATCTGCACTAGTCGATGTCAGTTCAGGTCGAATTTTATAAGCTTGCAGCGACTTACTGGTGTTGGCAATGACATTGCGGTGCGAGATCATGACACCCTTGGGGAGCCCAGAAGTGCCGCTGGAGTAGCAAAGGAATGCCGCTCTCTTGGCGCCATCGCCCTGCTGCCAATTCAATGGTTCCAGACGATCCAGCTTTTCGCCTTGACGGATGAAGTCATCGACAGTTTTCATACCGCTGGGTATCTTTCCACCAAGCTGCTCAGGGACTTCGAGGATGTAGATGCGGTTTTCTGGAATCCCGCTGTTCTTGGCGGCCTCACGAGCGGTCTGCAGAAGTGGAACGCATGTGAAGAGAGCCTTTGCGCCAGAATTCTTGAGCTGATATTCGAGTTCGGCGGCGCTGTACGCAGCATTGGCAGGGGTTTGTAGGCCTCCGAGGCGATGCGTCGCCCATGCCAGCGGCAGTGTGTCCAACTGATCAAAGTAGGTCAACAATGCTGCCTCAAACCGCTAGACGTTAATCTGTCCCACTCACCGTATTCACCGAGAAGACCGCAATGACCTTATCCCATTCAGAGCCCTTGTTTGGCTCGAAGCCGAGCTCTTTGGCCAGTCCTCGTGCGAGGTAGTCGACGCGATCCCTGACATCGAGACTGCTATACGTCTTGCCTGTCAGGCCACAGGTGAAGGGGTTATTGGAGTAGCCGAGGGGGTGTCGCTCGTAGATATCGTCCAGCATGAACTGGGAGACGGAGATGGAGTCTGGTGGATCATAGGGAAGCTGGGGCACCCATGTTGGAGGTGTGAAAGGCATCCTTGCGGCTATCTGTATCTCAACGTGACATGTCAGTGTGCTTGCGCGCGTAGGTATCAATGATGGGGCACTGGCTACACTGACACTATGGTACCTGCAGCAGTCAAACCTCGACAGTATGGTACTGATACCTCCCAGCGGAATCAGTCGGGAGCTGCAGCTTTAAAGACACATCCATCCATTCCCCTTCGATTGCGACGCCGCTAACTTGTCCTTGTCAAGCGTCAGCTCCGGATCGCATGCCACTCCTTGCTGCCGACCAGCATTGGCGAATCGAAGAGTGGAGAAACTGGGGAACCGAGGTATGTCCCACAAAAGGGTTAGCGTCCTGTGGGGACGGATGTACCTACCTAACCCGATTCAGCTTTGCCGACGAGTGCATTTTGCAACGCTATGCATGACTCGATACCTCTCTCACAAACAAGTGAGTGACTGCTCGACATCCAGAAACACCTTCACCTTGTGGCGTTGGGGAACAAGGTCGCCCAGAAGTGTGCACGTTGACTGCAAAGCGTAGCAACTGATTGGCCAGATAGCGTGAGAGAGTGGAGTCGCAGCCTAGGCTGCCTGGAGCACCAACTTCACTCTCACTACCTCGAGCGTTCGTATGCCTCTGAGTAACTATTCATGAGACTGTACTGTCCTTCGATCCTGTTTTCTTCCTTCGAACCTCAGTCAGCTCCAAATTCTCCCTTCTCAACCGCACATCCACTGTTCTTTTCTGCTAGACTTGCCTTACTTCTCTACCTATCCTAATAGTTGATGGTATTTTTCTATTCTCATCGCAAGCCTTCACTACACACCAATTCTTAGAAAATCCTGGTCATGGCTTCGCCAAAGAGAAAGCAGGACTCTGTTGAGCCCACTGTTGAGACCTTCAATGGAGAAAGCCACGAATCGATCAAAGCACCTACAAGCTCAACCTCGGTCGACCTGGACGACACTGAACCAGACCGCAAACAAGCGAGAGCCACAAAGAAATTCAGGACTAATGTTATTGCCCCATTGGAAGTGTCGCAGCAGAATCGTGATAATTTTGGCACTGCGACACTTCAGCGCCCGCAGCGGAGCAAAAGGCCTCCAGAGAGATACCAAGACAACACTGTGCTTCTAAAGGCCAACCCAAGGAGGGGACAGAAGCGTCCCTCCTCTGCGAAGCGCAAGCTGAGCCAAAATTCAACTTCACAAAAGCCATCAACACGTAGCACGCTGCCAAAGAGTCGGAACAAGTATGGCTTTCTACTCAATGGCAAAACCAGCACTACAGCGGACGATGTCCTCGATGACAAAAAATATTCGTGTATTGTCTCCCATAATGTTGGCTCTGATCACTTGGATCGGTTGGCAGCTCCACAAGAACAAGATGTCCCACTCCCTTCGACACTGACTCCTGCACCTGCTGAGGGGGGCGCCCCACCCGATCACGATGAGAGTAATCCTGCAGCACCGGATCAGAAACCAATGGCGAAATGGGCTCCACACACTCCTAGAGATAGTCCTAAAGCTACGGCAGATGATGAACGCGATATTATCCGTACACCTCAATGGGTGATATCACAGGCGCATGAGCAGCCCGCCGCACCTCTTACTCCAACATCTGGCCCGCGTTGCAATGTCTCGAAACTTCTTCTGCCAGAGCTTTCCAAGGGTGACTTGCTGCGATCACCTCCCTCAATCGTAGACTCGGAAGCAACGACCGTGTACGAAGACGTTCCAGAGCCCTCGATTGAAACATCAGAACTTGATCAACTTCGCGCTCTTGCCGAGCGACTTACACGCCGCGAAGTAGGCAAGTCCAAACCATGTCCTGCCGGTGTACCCGAAGTATGGGCAGATGGTCGTCAAGAGCTCTGCGAGACCCTGCATTACTATCGTGCGTACCAGAGCGCGTGTTACTCCACTGGCGGTTTTGTACGAGGCTTCATGTTTGATAAGGTCGCCCACCCTCGCGACTACATCGATAGCAATGTCGTCATCTCAAGAGCAGGCGGTGGCCAGATGAAAGACAAGGATACGGGCGAACTGAGAATGGGGAGAGATCAAGTTGAGGATTCTGTTGCACAAAATCTTCGCAACTGCAAGAACCACTACAACCCAGTGGTCATCATAGCTGGTGTCGACAATCCACACTTCCCTTCGCAGTCACCGCATCAGTATTGCGTAATGGACTACTTTAAGCCAACGCACATTTGGTTCGAAAAGGATGGCAAGAGCAAGATTGTGCGCTATCGATTCGAGAAGCTCAACGCAAAGAAGCAGTCATGGTGGCGACCGGAAGACTCTGACGAGCTTGTGGAGCTCGACTCATTATCACCGCCCAACAAGCAGACTTGTCATTCTTGCGGAAGGCCGTCTACTCAGATATATCTCAACGGCTGGATGTGTCTTCAACCTTCTTGCAGGAATTTCTGGAAGATCCGCAACCGCAAACAATACAATGAGCCAGAGCAGGAGTCGCTCATTTACGATCCGCGATTCTTGAAGCAGAAGACCCTATGGCCTAACGACGACCACGAATACTCACTCACGTCGAACAAGGTAGAGCTCTCGGGTCATGCTATCCCTGGAGAAGACACCTCGCAAGCCTTCTGGCTCGGGAGCGTTTGTCCAGATTGTGGACGCTGTAACTCACGCCTCAGCTGGATGGGCTGGCAATGTGGCAATCCAGCTTGCAGCTTTCGAAAAGCACCACCACACACACTCATCCCCGCACTTTCACTGCGTGAACCCCTCTGGCCTGTGACAAGCAGCTATACTCTGTCCCGAGATATCCAATCACCCCTGATCAGCGTCCGCGTAACTTTTACCCATGGGTACCGCATCAATCGCTACAGTATCCCCGGCATCAATGGCTTCATTACGCATATGATTGCCAACAAGACTGTTCTTGAGGAAGCAGGTGGTCCGGATTCCATGTTCGAAGAGCTGCAGCAAACAGATATTGGATTGCGTCGCCACCCCATGCCAAACGGGCAACTTAAAGGCGCCAATCACTGCCGCCACTTCACAGTCAACTACGGCATGCCGTACAAATTCATCGCAGCCACCTCCTCACACTCTTTCGACAACGCCGCCCGCCCCATCACCGCAACCCGGAGCCGCCTCAACTGGGCAGCCCAGCTTCTCCACTCCCAAGAACCAGAGACGACAGCAGAACCCGAGCCCAGCAGCCCAGGAGCAAAAGACACGATTCCAGACGGTGAATTCAACGAAGTCCTCGCCCTAGGCTACTTTGAATCGCAAAAAATCAACTTCCACGACGACGGCGAATTCGGTCTCGGACCCACCATTGCTACCCTCTCCCTCGGCGCCCCAGGCACAATGCGCATCCGCATGAAATCCCGCCACTACAACGGCGTCTCTGCCTCTGGCATCTACGACGATGCGCCCCCGCTCCCCGGTTGTCGACAGTACGAGGACCGAGCGGCGCTGCAGCCCGGTCTCGAGGCGCTCCGGCGCGCAGACCCAAAGGCGTATACCGCGCGGCGCAAGCAGATTCCCAGGGAGTTGGGGCTCACGGGCAAGGGGAACGCAAAGGAGGTGTTGAGTATGCAGCTTGCGCATGGGGATGTCGTGGTTATGCATGGCAGGGATGTTCAGCGGTACTATGAACATGCTGTGGAGCATGCGGGCAAGTTGAGGTTTGCACTGACGTGTCGGTATGTGGATCCTGAGTCTTTGCAGGGCGCGGATAGGCCGGGGTATGAGGTTGGGCCGGATGGGGGTGGGTATGATGGGTCGGGGTTGGTGTGAGTACTGGCGGAGTACGCTGGCTGCGGTGGCGCATTCGACTCGTCGTGTTCGTCGCCGACACTGTTAGGATTCTCAGAGTTGCGTTGGTCTTTGCCGAGCGGAGCTGAGTTATCTCCCTGGGGTTTTGGGGGTGGGAAGATGTAGAAGAGAGATGTCATGGTGGATATATACGTGGAAATCATGAGGAGTAGAGGAGAATTCACATACGTGGAAATATCTATCAAGATATCTAGGTCTACGAAAGTAAATTATATACCCAATCTCCCCCATGTACAAACACAATAACAACAAACATCATGACCCCCCCAAACTCAGCCCAAAAACTTAGCCACAAACTCAGCAACCTCTTTGGGCCTTTCCACCATTGGCAAATGCCCCGCCCCATCCACAACCTTCAACTCGACCCCTTCGCCCAACTTATCCGCCATATTCTCCCGCATAGTCTTGGGTAACACACCATCCCCCGCGCCAACCAAGAACGCAGCCTTGCCCTTGAACGCCGCCATCTTGCCACGGATATCGTATGCATGCAGGGCCTTGACGCTGTCCCTAAAACCTGGCAGAGAATTACTCTTAACCATGTGCTTGACCCTTTCAATCCTCTGTGCCAGTTCGGGGTCGTCGTAGGATTCCTTGACGAACCAGCGACGCGTGGTGGCTTCTGCCAATGCCTCGCCGACGAGCGGTTCGCCCGTGGTCGGGGAGATGAGGTTTTCCTTCTCCGAAAGCGCGACACGCTCGTTCCAGGCGGTGGCGTTGGAGGCGGGGGCGAAGGCATTGGTGTCGCAGCCGATGAAGGCTTGGATGCGGTCTGGATGCTCGAGACCGGCGTTGAGTGCGGTTGCGCCGCCGAGGGAGACGCCAACGATGCTGGCTTGCTTTGCGCGGAGCGCGTCGAGCAGGGTGATGACGTCTGTGGTCAGTGTGTGAATGGTGATGGGGGCAGATGAGTTTGCGGGGAGTGTGTTGCGACCTCGTGTGTTGTAACGCAGGATTTGGTATTTGTTCTGTGTGAGCCGGGCAAAGTGCGTTACGAACTCGTCCCAGATACCATAGTCCGTTAGTATGCTGTTTGAGAGGACGAGGAGGGGCGCGTTCGGGTCGGAGCAGCCTTCCAGACGGTAGGGGAGGGAGACGCCGTCGGGTGTCGTTATGAAGCTCTCGATTACTGGGCGGTGGTCGGGTGTGGTGTGTGCTGGATATGTCTTTACTGAGCCTTCTGTGACCTCTGCTTGAACTGCGTCTTTTGACTCAAGGCTTTTGAGATCACGCTGCGCGGCTCCGAAGGTGTAGTACAGGTCGTACACCCTCCTCTTGCGCTCTTTGACTACGTCTCTGTAGATTTTATTGCACCACTCGGTCGAGATGGCAGCCTGGAACTCTGGTCCTCCCAGTCCGTTCTCGGGCGCATACTCATGCAGCGCGAGAAACTCCTTGTCTTTCCTATGCCCACTCTCCAGATCCAGATAGCTCGTCTCGAATCTCCTTGTTCTGCGCCAGCCAGGAACTTTTTGTAGCATTGGGACATGTTCCTCTTCATACCACTTCTTCAGTTCTTCCTCTTTCCCTTCGCCGTCTTGTAGTGAGAAGCTGACAGTGACCATGACATTCTTCTCGCCCTCATTCTCCACTTTTTGCAGGTCCTTGAACTGATCACCCTTCCACTCCCCAAGCAAATCATAACTCCGCCTATCCACAAAGATCTGCTTCATAGCATCCCTCTCTCGTTGCGACTGTACAGGCGCACTCCTGAGCTTCATGTACGGCTCGCGCGTCAGCCACTCCAGCTCGTCGAAATCGTAGATGGCCATCCACTCAGGCTTATCCTTGGTACCGGGTGCATGTTCAAGATCAGTGGCACGGTAGCGGAAGCCATTTTTGCAAAAAGGGAGGCGCAGCCGATTGGGGCCGTGTTCGTTCTGGTACCTGGGTGGAGGACGAAGTGTTAGGTGGATGTGCGAGGAGGAGAGGATACGACTTGGACGAGTCAACTTACCAATCGTGGAATTGAGCGTCTGGCAAACCGTCTTTGGGTTGCATGGTGACATACAAGATGCCTGGGGTTGATTTGGATGCCATGATGGATGAATGTATCAATGCAATACGATGGACTCTGGAACAGTCCTAGAAACGGATACGATATAAGACGACAAGATGGAAAAAGAGAAGATCAAAGGACAAAGGATTCTTTCTTTGAGGAGTTCCAGTTCCAATTGCAGAGAAACAAGGCTGCCAGTACAACCATGCGCAACTTGCAGCTCCTAGCGATCGATGGCTTTCCCCTCCGATGACATCTGCCGAAGACCACTAAGTTAGGTAAAACCAGGGTCCACCCAATTGACCCCGCGCTAATCCCGAGGATCTATCTTCACCCGAAGAGCCCCCCAGTGGAACCGCCTTGCAATAGGATGTCATGGTCTTGTCTTTTTTTGTCTCTGTCTTATTCGGTCGGTAGTGTTGGCGTAAAGCAGTCACTCTATCTCGGGCATTGTCACATGCTGTTGTTATTGTTTCATATTGGACTGAGTATGGCTGGAGTGAAGGCTTTCGCATATCTATAGTATTGGGCATTAGATTCTAGGCTCTTCAAGGGTAGAATCTTTGAATTCACAGGACATGTGCATCCTTCCTTTTCGATTCCGCTGCTCTTGCCTGTCTAATCATACCAAATAGCGTTCATGCCAAAGCCTTTCTCTCCCACTTCCAGTCTTGCAACCCTCGCCAGAAACTCGTCATGCCATCTATAAATCTCCACTCCGCCCTTTTCATCATCAGTAAGCGCCAGCCATTCGTCTGACCAAGGACATGGCGACACTGCATTCGAGTGACCACCAGAAGTGGGTGTAGGATTGAGACATATCTGTCGCTCAATGGCGCCCGATGGTGCAATCTTGAAGGCGGCTATATAGCCAGTGAGGGAGAAGGAGTTGGACCGCGAGGTTGCGAAGAGATGGTTTGCCGATTTGGTGAGGAAGCAGACATCGGAGCGGTACATGGTGTCTGCGTTGGGAATGCCTTTGCCGAGTCAGCTCGCTGCATGTTTGAGCAAAGGCTATGGAGTGGAGACTTACCAGGTGGAATTAAGGGATACACTTTGTGTGTATAGATTGGCAGCTTTGTCTGAGGATCAATCACATATTCGCACAACCGGTTGCCTCCTTCCATCAATGCGTAGAGATAGTTTCCAGTGGGATGCATCTCGACCCATCTTGGATGATCTTTGGGCGCAGGCGCTTCCGTGTATCCCACCGTCTCCATCCGGCCCTCTGCATCCTTCTTCTTGTGGCACCAGACTCTGTTTGCCCACATGTCCGCGCTATAGAGGTAGGTTTCAGAAGGATCGAAGACCATGCCGTGGATTGCGGTCTTGTCGCAGTACTCATAATTTTGTATGTTCTCCTTGATGTGACCGGATGAATTGACGGAGAAGACGTTGCCATAGCCTGCAAAGTCGTAGAAGGGGTTGCAGTAGACATTGTAGGGAGGCTTCTGTGCGGGTAGGAGGAAGATGGCACGCGTTTTAGTGTCTGCATCGTTGGCTCTGGCTAATCAATCGTGTTAGATGCTACCGGAGGGGTAAGATAGCTATGGTAGTTTTAATCAAGACTTACGATGGCCACCGATGGGAAAACTGCCAGTGTGCACAATCTCACTTGGGCTCTTGACCTCGTGGGAGCTCCATTTCTTCATGGACGCGCCATAGATGGTTTTCCGTTGATGCTGTTCTCGAACCATCAGCCATTGCTCATTGTCTTTCACTGCTTACTCATAGGACACACATACGTCAAAAGCCATCCAACTTATCGGCTCATCTTCTGGGATGTCTGTCTTCTTCACCAGCTCCAACTCCAGGGTTTCGTCGTCGAAGGCGACTGTGATGATTACACCCGGTGGTGTCCATGTGCCTATCATAAGATGATGTTTGACCATGGTCGCGATTCTTCTTCCCCTCTTCGGCCGAATTGAGCACGCCTGCGACCTGTCTACCACGATGAAATAGAAGAAACAGTCAACCTCCAAGCCAAAAAAAAAAAGAAAAGGCTTTCCAGCGCATCCACCCTCCACCTCGCCAGAAAATTACTCCTGACGCGTCGCGTCTCCTAACTGCTAAGAGTTCCGCAGTCGATACCGAAGGGCGGGGCACTCGGCCTCCCAACACAAGACTCGGCGGAAGAGTGCCGGAAGAGCATTTACCCACAATGACAGCATCCTCATTCGCCAGCGCGGGCCAGTCCATACTTTGGTAAGGGCGGGGCAATCATCGCGAGGGTAGGACAACAGTGGGCACTGCCGCCACTCTTTGCCAACCCCCAAGCTTCAGAGCCGTGACAGCATGCCGCAGACGGGATTGGAATCGTTCGCGTCGTATGATGCGCCGGCTAGTTGGACGGCGATTTTTAACGGTGCTAGTCCCGTTGGCTGGAGCCTGGTAAGATTCGAATGCTATTTATTAGACCTGATGATGCCCCCGGATGGAAACTTTCATACTACTGCCAGTACTCTCTCTTCACTTCTTCTTGAACAGTCTTGAGATACTTAGCCCCCTCGAGTCTCGATATTCTTCCATACAGAAACACATCCACATCCACATAACACAATGAATCCCAACACTCAAACAGCGCCGCAATCCCAGGAGAACAACGGCACCCACCGATTCGATCCCAACTTCACAGATGCCGTCATCAACGCTATTGGGCCAAATGTCCCAGACCGGACACGGTTCGTCATGAGCAAGTTGATTCGCCATCTTCACGACTTCATCCGTGAAGTCGAGCTTACCAATGACGAGTGGTTCGAGGGTGTTCGATTCGTTAACTCCATTGGCAAGACCACCACCAACACCAGGAACGAAGCCCACCGCATCTCCGATGTTTTGGGTGTAGAATCGTAAGTACTCATCACCTTGAGAAATCACGCATAGTTACTGACCATGTGAAGATTGGTCGATGAAATCGCCCACATGCACATCAACGAGTCTGGCGAGACACCCACTTCTTCCACCATTCTGGGTCCCTTCTGGTCGCCTCACTCACCCTTCCGTGAGCTTGGTGATTCCATTGTCCGCAACCCACATCCCGATGGCCAGTTGACTCTTATGCACGGTGTGATCCGCGACCTCGACACGAAGAAGGGCATTCCCAACGCTGTCATTGACATCTGGCAAGCCAGTGCCAACGGAAAGTACGATTTCCAGGACCCCGAGAACCAAGAGCCCAACAACTTGAGGGGCAAGTTCACCACAAACGAGAAGGGCGAGTACTGGTACTACTGCTACAAGCCAACCGCATACTCGCTACCCACTGATGGTATGTTCCTTTTATCTGAGAATCAATCTTCTGCCCATGCTAATAGGAATCACAGGTGCTGCTGGACAACTCTTCAAGACGCTCGACCGCCACCCCTTCCGCCCCGCACACATTCATCTCATGGTCTCGGCCGACAACTACAAGCCTCTCATCACCCAACTATACCCCCGTGACGATCCATGGGTCACCAACGACACCGTCTTTGCTGTCAAGGATGATCTGCTGCTCGACTTCAAGCCTGCCAAGGACGACAAGGCGAAGCTCGACTTGGAATACAACGTCACATTGGCGCCAGCAGGCAAGAAGACCACCAGGCTGGAAGGCATCCCAAGGCTGCCCAACGTGTTCGATGAGCAGAGCCGATTGTAAACGATGATTTGTCTTAATTCTCCAAATCTGTATATATACCTCATGTAGCGAAGTTTTCTAAAGTTCAATTGAAACAAGAAGCGCATGCTCTGAACTCGTCTGTGACTCGACATGTCACATTGCATTGTACATGTAAATGAGTAAGATGCCAAGGCCCATGATGTGAAAGCCGAGATCGCAGGAAGATGATGGCAAGTTTACGGCAGAGACTGTTTCTGCCCCGTGACTATTCCAGCTTGTCTGAGCAATTGGGTATATATATCTCCCGTAACCCACTTACCATCCCAAATGTTTCCTCGCCCAACCCTGACATCCCTCATCCACCCAAAAATCACTCCCCACCGTCTTACATCCCCATATACATTGCAACCACGCTACCTTTGCTCTACCGCTCTATCCAAAATGCGCGTCCCCTACGCTCCCCAAGAACCGCCAACGGAAGAAGCAAAGGCCATTTACGAACGCATCGCCGAGCGCCGCAAGCCGCGCCCCCTCATCCCACTGGACCTCGCGCTGCTACACAATCCCCGCGTCGCAGACGGCTGGAACTCGTTCATAGGCGCCATACGCACGCAAACCTCGGTAGCCGTCCAGCTCAAGGAACTGGCCATCTCACGCGTCGCCGTGCTCAACCACGCAGTCCACGAATGGGATGTACATGCTGCTCTGGCACGCAAAGCAGGTGTGTCCAAGGAAGCGTTGCAGACGGTGTTTGATCTGGAGGTTGTGGGGCAGGGAATGGTGAGGGCAGCGGGGGTGGAGGGGTTGAGTGGGGACGAGTATGCGGTGTTGTGTTTGACGGATCAGATGACGGTTGGGGTGCGGGTTGAGGAGGCGGTCATGGAGAGGGTGAAGGAGTTGTTGGGGGATAGGCAGACTGTGGAGTTGACGGCGACGATTGCGGCGTATAATATGGTGAGCCGGTTCTTGGTGGCGTTGGATGTGGGCGAGTGTAATGAGAGGGGTATGAAGAAGGTTGAGGATTTATAGGAATATCTACCATGTTACTTATATTCACACTCTGGCCAACGAAGGCTTTTGTAATTGGCCGGAAAAAAGCAGATAACCAGACTTGTACAAACGCATTGAAAGAGCAAAGTGGTACCGGTAGTAGCTTCTTTAGCAATTGTAGACAATGGCCCACGGCCGAACGTTGCTTCAACGCCTCATGATTTTCCCAATATGGACGCAATCAAGACTGCAATTGCGTCAATCGATTTGCTAGAACCATACAGGGCAACTGCCAGCTGCAATCGTGGTGAGAACATGGAAACAGTAGGTGGCGTTCATTCTAGATCATCTATCGCGGCTGTACCAACATCTAACGGGGGCGAAGGTGACTGCCTACCACCATTGGCGACTCCTTCATCCTGGGTCGTCTGGGAGGCGCCCGTTTGGGGCTAGTGGGGGTCTGTATCTAGCCACCTTGCCTCCGGCCATAGATTCTCTTCTTCAATTCATACTTTCATCACATCAGATAGAGGTACAAGAACCCCTTCGGGCTCACCCTCCCTCTATCTCTTCTTCAGTCAGTATACTCACTTTTCTCTAGTAAACGACCTATTGGCAGGAACGGCCTTCCAAGCTTGAGTCCACAAATCAACTCCTCCACTCATTCCCATCCTCCTCCCGCATTTATTCCACTCGCGTTCATTCCGCTCGCATCTCCATCCGTCTGCAACTCATTGTCTATGAGCTCCGTGAGTCTCGGCGAAATATCAGCCTGGGTCGACAGTGTTGGATCCACGCCGCAAGACCTGTATGTGTGCCATGTCTCATTTGCACCCAACTTCGACTGAGTGCGTCTTCCTCTGGCAGATCAGTCCCCTCGCTTTCCCCGCAGGCGTATAACGATAAGGAGAAGCCGCGACCGGTGAACAAGATCAAACGCCGTTTCATGGACGACAACGCTCACCCCGAGGATACGCCTCGGCCTTCCAAGCAACAGCGCGATGCGGATAATACGCCGCAAACGCCTCTGGGCGAGCTGGGTTTTGTCCCATCCCTCTCACCAAGGAAGAGCAACGCAAGTACCTCGGATATCACAATGGCATCAAATCAGAGCAGCCGTTTTGGTCCTCTTAGACAGCTTCAGGTGCTGGCGGATGACCATCAGCCAATTTTGTTTCGCAATTTTTGCGATGTTGAGGATTATGAGGAACGTGCCGACGTAGCAACAATGCGCTGTGCCATTCAGCGCCTCGCAGATGGCGTGGGAATACTCGGATATGAAGATGTTCAAACGGTCACGGCCTCGCTATCATCGACAATGGACCGGTTACGATTTGAGTATTCCTGGGCGAATGAGTGCCCTCAGCGCCTCACGTACGGCGGAATGCCCCCACTGGCGTGTTTAGAGGCTATTGTGAGGAAGGGATGGGCTAGGGACCGGGGACCTGGGGATTCAAAGGACATTTGGCATAACGTGATCCACCACCGAGCGCCCACCCCCACCGAGCGCCCACCAACACCAAAATCCACCACCCACTAAATAAGGATATTGCGCCACCCACAATAGCTATTATTACGAGATTTCTTAGAGTCGCGATTATTAGATCTATTAGAGTAGATTAAATATTTTAGATTATATAAGCAGCTTTTTAGGGGGTCTAATTAGGCGCCCACGCTATAAAGTTGCCTCTACTACTATATCCTCTTCTACTAGCTCCTTATTAACCACCTTAGCTAGTATAATAGTAGGAGGCTTAAGGATTTACCTTTTACCTATTTAGGATATTTTAATATTATTTTAAAGTTACTTTTCTAGTTATTTAGTAGTTTTCTACTTATTATATATAGTAGCTTTTTAGGTAGCTTTCTTCTCCTACTCTTTCTTAGTAATTACTTAATTTAGGTAACACTCCTTTATAAGTTAAGCTTTAGTAAGCTTCTATTACTTATAAAGCTTAATTACCTTACTTTTTTAGTATTATAGCTTCTATTCTTTAAGGTTCTTTTACTTCTAAAGCTTAAATACTTGCTCTACCTTTAATAGTAAAATAAATTAGGTACTACTACTATAATTATTATTAGGGGGTAATAATAGAGGTTTACTACGCTTCCTACACTTCTTCTTATTAGCTAGGGCAGCCCTTAGGTGTTTATTTTTATAGTTAAGTAGAGTATTTCTTACTAATATAGTATAGATTATCTAGCTAAGCTTCTTTAACTATTTATTATAGATATTAATTATAGTATTATAGAGTAACTACTCTATCTTTCTCTAATTACTTATACTTAATATTAAGGTTATACTATTACTTAAAGAAGGCTAGTTACTATTATTTATAGGTGCTTTAAACCTTAAAAGAATAATATTAGGGTTAAGTAGTAAGATACCTATTACTTTAAAAGCTATTAATATTAGCTTTTCCTTAAAGGTATTACTCTATATAGTATTAAATAACTAGTAGAAATCCTTCTTAGTAATACTTATAAGCTCTTAGGAGCTATCTAGAAAACTAGATAGTTAAGCTTTATATAAAGTGTTATAGACTAGCCTTAAGGGAGAATGTAATAAGCGTTAATAATAGTATTTAGTATCTTAAAGGAGAGGTAAGCCCTTAGCGCCTTTTTATAGGTGTGTAATGTGTTCACTTAGTAGTAGTGTTAGACTTAGTCTATCTTGTGTTAGACCTAGGCTTAGGTATAAGCCTAAGCCCTTTATATACCCCTAACCTTCCCTATAAACTATTATAAAATTATCTTTCTAGGGGTCTAGGGTTATATCTTTATACCCTATAATCTATTTTAGGCTTTATTTCTATATATTCTTAGGTTTTATTATTATATCTTTATATTCCTTCCTAATTTATAACAGGCCTATATATTAAGTAGTACGCGCATATAGTATCTATACGCTTATTTTAGCACCCTACTATAAAAGTTCTAATATAGCTATCCTACCCTACTATAAATTTCCTAAACTTACTTTGTTATACAATAGATTTTCCCTACTAATTAGCCCTTTCTCTAATCTTTTTCTATTAGTCCTGCCTATCTAGTTCCTATTATATCTTTATCTATAGCTACTAGTGTGCCGTGGTAAGGGATGTATAGGAGGAAAACAAGGCTTAGCCTAAAAGGTTAGGCGGATTAAATAGTATAAAGGCATGAAGGATTAGAGGATAGGATAATAACAACTCTTAGAGACTTTACTTTAACTTTACAATATTATCTTTTTACTTATGTTCCTGTATTAAACTATATCCTCTACTATAGCACTACTACTATTAAACCTTGTCCCTCCTACTTCTCCTTATTTAAATAGGTTACTCTCCCTATTAGTTTAAATAGCAAAGCCTAAGGGGAACTTATCTTATCTTAGTAAAGGGGAGGGCCTAGTAGCATGCAACTAAGAGGACGTTTCTCTAAGAATAAGGAGGGTAGAGAAAAATTAAAAAATAGGTAGTGTTAATAATTAATATTATTAAGGCAAAAATAGTAGGCCTATATTAGGATGTAGCAAACGCGTGTTAGTAGAAATAGAGTAATAACACTAAGAGGCTAACTAGAAAATATTAGAAACACTAGAATAACTAGAATAACTAGAACTAGAACAACTAGAACTAGAATAACTAGAACTAGAATAACTAGAATAACTAGAACTAGAATAACTAGAATAACTAGAACTAGAACAACTAGAATAACTAGAACTAGAATAACTAGAATAACTAGAACTAGAATAACTAGAACTAGAATAACTAGAACTAGAATAACTAGAACTAGAATAACTAGAACTATTAGAATAATTAGAACTACGAGAAGTATTAGTAATGCTAGAAGTGCTAGAACACCTAGAATATTACTACTAATAGAAAAGCTATAGCAAAGGCTACAGGATAGTGTGCGCTGTTAGCAGGAAAATAGGGCTAGGCTAAAGTTACTAATATAATAAGAATCTACTAAAAATAAATATAAGTGCTAGCACTAGTTAGGAAGGGTGTTAGGGATATAGCTACTAAGGAAGAGGAGATAGTCTATAAAAGTAAGAGATAGGAAAGGGGGGAAGTAATATAAGCAAGTAGATACTAACTTATCTAATAATTTTAATTAATATTACTAGTTTATACACCTCCTTTAATATTTATAGAAGCCTACTACCTTAACTAAGCCTATCCTTTTTACTAGGAATAATACCTAGAGAAAGTAATATTACCCTAGGGTTAACTAAAATAGAAACTTCTAGACCCCTAAGAAGAGTCCTTGTCCCTATAAGGCCTAGGAAAACTAACTTTTAGTTCTAGGGGAAGGAGGTTATAGAGTTCCTAGATAACTATAACTACTAGGTAGAAAATAGGGGGCTAGATAAAGTAAATTAGCTAAAAATTCTACTAGACTTTTATAATACTATATATAGAACATTTGTAAAGAAGCTTAGACCTTACTAGAAGCAAGACTAGGAGGAGCTACAGGAAGCTATAAAGGAGCACTAGAGGGACTAGGATATAGCCTAAAGGATAGGTACCTAAACCTTCCTAGATACGTATATATAAGAAGCCTCTAGGAACTTCCTAGGTCTCTTAGACTACTATATTAATTTTATAGTATATAGTAATACCTACCTAGTATCTAAATAGCTATATAAAAGTAAGGTTAGATTCTTCTTCTTTAAAGGGTTACCCTAGGTAGATAAAGAGCTAGTCTTGCTTAGTATGCTAGGAGGGCCTAATAGTAATAAAGTAGCAAGCTATAAGCTAGAGAAGATCTATACCTATATTAAAAGAATCTATTAGTAAAGAGAAGGAATAAAATAAATATTAGCTAGCTAAATAGAGGAAGATGCTTAGTAAGTATATTAGATATTAAAATTAGTAAAAGCTACGCCTATAAAGGAGGATATTATAGAGGTAGCAAAAGGCGTTAAAAAGGAGCAAGCCACCACCTAACTACTACTAAACGTTAACCTAGAAATAGACTAGTTAATTAGGGCACTAGGAAAAATAAAGATAAGTTTAGCTAAGGCTAATAGGCTACAGGAATACTACGCGATAGGCCTACTACTAAAAAGCCTAGTAAACTAGCTCTACTTTATTTTATATACAACTAACGCTAGGATAGAGCAAGGAATATGTTAGAATACTATAGTAATTAGGGGGTTACTAATAAACTAGCTAAGAACCTAGGGCCCTATATAAATAATAACTACTTAGCTAGGGCTATAGAGTTATAGGGGGTATAACAAGAAACCACCTACCTATAATATATATAGATTAGAAACCTACCTAGTAAGAGACTGCCCCCCCTAGCTAGAACTTATAGCGCTAGGGTAGGTAAGCACTTCCTAGAATCTAGAAATAAGGACTAGGATATTTTACTACAGACTATTATATAAAAGACTAGGGCAGGTTACTAAGCTAGTGTTATAGACTAGCCTTAAGGGAGAATACAATAAGCGTTAATAATAGTATTTAGTATCTTAAAGGAGAGATAAGCCCTCTACGCCTTTTTATAGGTGTCTAGTGTGTTCGCTTAGTAGTAGTGTTAGACTTAGTCTATCTTATATTAGACCTAGGCTTAGGTATAAGCCTAAGTCCTTTATATACCCCTAACCCTCCCCTATAAACTATCGTGAAATTATCTTTCTAGGGGTCTAGGGTTGTGTCTTTGTCCTCTATAATCTATATTAGGCTTTATTACTATATTTTTTAGTTTTATTATTATATCTTTATATTCCTTCCTAATTTATAATAGGCCTATATATTAAGTAGTACACGCGTGTAGCGTCTATATGCTTATTTTAGTACCCTACTATAAAAGTTCTAATATAGCTATCCTACCCTACTATAAATTTCCTAAACTTACTTTGTTATATAGTAGATTTTCCTAACTAATTAGTCTTATCTCTACTCTTTTTCTATTAATCTAGCCTATATAGCCTCTATTATATCTCTATCTACTACTACTAGTGCTAGTAGTAGGGAACTACTATAAGGCAGTAGGACCCTACACTAGGCCTACTAAGATAAGGTGCGCACTTCCTATATTCTCCTAATATTTCCTGCACTAACTTTTTGCTTAGTATATATCTCCCTAAACCTAGCTACTTAGTAGCTTTATTATTTCTAGTAACTTAGATAATAAGGAGTATAATAGCAGTTTTGTAAAGCTACTTCCCTATAATTAGTATATTAACTAACTCTATCTCTTTAGTAAGTGTAACTATTAGAAGGGTAGTAGTAAGTTCTTCCTAATTTTTATATTCTTTATAGTAAGTTCTAACTATATCTAGGGCGTTTATGCAAGTCTTGTTATTGTAGTTATAAGACCTGCACTAGGTTAGAGGCTATACTTGCTAATAATCCTAATATCTGCCAAGCCCTCTATAACTAGCTTTAGTTTTATTATAGTTACTAGGAGGATTGCCTCTATATTATAAAGAAAGGGACCCTTAGGACCTTTATAGGAAAACCTACTAAAGGCACTTACTACTAGTTCGTGCTATAATTCTACTAGCTCTACTATTAGTTTAAGGATCTTATATTAAGGGCCTAAACTAATAACGCTATTACTCTACTTGCCCCCTCTACCTACTTACGCGCCTATAATTAGTACTAGCTTAGTGCTATTATTCCCTCTACTACTAGTGCTCTAGCGTTTCTACTACAATCTACTATTACGCCCTTACATAGTGGTTGTAGTAACAACAACATTATATAGCTTGCTACTACTACTAGTATTACCTTCTAGCGTATTAACTA